AATATATATATTATATATATATAATATATATATGTAATAGCAAAAAATAAAACAAGGCAAAAGCAAAATAAATAAATAAAGGAGCAGATAATTAAAAGCAGAGAGAGTGGTCATGGATATTCAGGGAAAGAACAGTCCAAAAAGAGAAAACATTAAGTGGAGAGACCCTGAGGCACAATTGCCTTTGGCATATTCTAGGAAAAGCAAATGAGCCAGCATGGCTAGGTTCAGGTGGGCACAGGGATACTGTTAGAAAAAGATAGAAGTTGGTAGACGGAGGATAGCTCATTAAATCTCTGCCAACTAGTTAGACTCAACGTCCTTATTTATAACAGTAATTTTATAATGCCAGCTTTACTGAAACATAATGCATCGATGATACATCGTAACCTTAAAAATTTCAAAATGTAGACCCATCCTCATAGTCAGTGGCATATAGTGAACACACACTGGGTACCTATATGCGTGCCCAGAATCCTGGCAGGATGGACAACTTGAAGAAGGGGATCACTGTGTGACTCAGCCCTGTGGAGAGTGCTCATCCTTCTCCAAACTCTTGTCTCCCTCTTTCTCTCTCTCTCTCACATACTATATCATTACCAAAAAAAAATCTTTTTTGAAATACAACTAAATGCCCTAACTACCCGAGAGATACTTGTAATCAAATAACATGTTTTGTTTGTTTGCTTGTTTTTGCTATAGAGCAGATGCACTCTCCAGAGAGACAGAGAGAAAGAGGCGGAAGGAAAATAAGAGATCATCCTTCAAGTGGGATGGCCATACCGCAGTTCCTGTTTCCAGTCTCCTCTTGGGTTCTTGGGCACACATACACATAGGCCTGGAGTGACCCTCAAATTTCTGGATCTAGGACTCGAAACCCACAGTCAGACCTATCTATGCAATCTAGTGCCTTAACCTCCATGCCACCTGCTGGCCCCAACATATTTTAATAAAGGCCTGTTCAAATAGGATGTATATTTAGGAAGACATTAAATAAAACTACCCTAAACACCATACCTGCTTTCCGAGAACAACTGGTATTAGACCTTGTTAGGCTTTTATTCTGAATAGAGAAGCTACTGGGAGGTTAGGGTAAAGGAGTAACAAAATCTGACAAATATTGTTAAAGAATTGCACACTCATCTCCTATGTGGAGTGAGACTGTGGATGAGCGAGGGCAGAAAGCAGGGAGACCAGTTAGGAAGTTATTGCAATTATCCAGATGCAAGAAGACAGGTTGGACTGAGGTGATAGAGAATGAGAAATGGTGGAAGGCAGACAGTTTGCTGATGAGTTGAGTGTAGAGTGTGAAACAGGTATCCAGAGTAACTCCAGAGATTTTTGCCTGAGCTACTGTAAACATGGAATTGGCAGCTAACTCTGTGGAAAGGATCAGGGGAAGGCGAAGACCGAGAGTTTACTTTTAGATGTGTTACGTTTAAAAGATATTAGGTTGAAAGTTGGATAGACGAGTCTTTAAAGCTAATGGGAGGGGTTCAGGCTAGAGAAACCAGTTTGGAAATTATCTTATTTGTAAGTGTTAGGATTACATAGCTGGTGATACACTACCAGTGATTCTCCAGTGGAGATGAGATTTTTATGGTCATTAAACCAGAAAATGAATTTAAGAAGGTTGAAACTCTGATAGAGATTATAAGACTTTAGATTTAGTAGCTCAGGCCCTATCACATCCTTTTGTTTCTTCTGCAGTTCCTAAGTGGCATCTCCTTGCTTATCTAATACGGTTTGCCGAATAAAAAAGGAGTACTACTTCTTTTTTTCTTTTTTGAGAGGTTTTTGCCTTAGGATGTGTGTGCTTGCAGGAGAGAACAGAAGACAGTGAGAGGGAAGGTGAGAAATCACCCTCCCCCGGGGGGGGGGAGCGGGGGCCGCGCTGGTCATGCCACAGTCCCTTCTTCTCCATTCTCCTCCCAGAATCCTGGCCATGCATACACACGTGCCCAGCATGATTTTAAAGCCGCTAAGTCCAGGATTTGCACTGCAGATGGCCATGTGGGAGAGTTCAGCAGTGTAACTGCTATGCCATCTGCTGGCCCATGGAGTACCACTTCTGAATTTGGAACTAGAAGATAAGGTCTTTTGAGTTAAAAATAAGAGTTGAAATCTCTTAATTTAAATAAGGCTTTGGATAGTTTACTTATTTAGAAAATTTTAGACAGTAAAGTCTATTTTGAAAAGAAAAAAACTTATGTATTTTAACCTCCAGAGATAAGAATAGGGTCCAGATTGTGGTTCAGTGGTTAAACACAGTGCTCTGTAAGGCAATCCCATGTAGCAGGTTCCTCGTTCAGGTCCAGAAACCTGTCTGACTATGCCAGCCACACACTTGCCCATGATCCAGAGCTGGGCAATGATTATGGTGTCAAGACCAAATTGGGGCAACTGTCTCTCTCTCTGCCTCTCCCATTTATAAAAAAATATACTTAAATAACAAAAAAGCTAACTATATATGTTATTTTTACTAATTTTCTACTTTGGAGCTTTTAATCATATGCCCTAATAATCATAAAATAGATGTTAAAAAAATGGCTGATGTGAGCCCAGCTGCTGTAGTGCGGCTGGTAGAGCACCAGTGCACGACTCTGAAACCATGTGGGAAGGCCCTGGTTTCAGTTCCCTGATCAGCTTGAACATCTGAGATATGCCTGTGAATGTGCCTGTGATCTTGGCTGGCTGTAAGGCTGGAGGGAATGAAGGAAGTTTACAGTGTGACCAGACCCTGGCAGGGGTTTCCCTCTCTGCCCCTTCTTTCTGTCCTTCTTGCACACACACAGACACAGATATACACAATAAATAGATAAAGTTTTTAAAATGGCTGATGTGACTTTCATGTGGCTTTTAGAATGAAATGATCACCCCTCAGATTTTTAATATTCATTTGATTTTCTTCTAGGAGGATTTGGAGACTGGAGTTCACCTTGACCCAGCTGTCAAAGAAGTTCAGTATAATCCTACCTACGAGACCATGTTTGCTCCTGAGGTGAGAAAACATATTATATTTTAGGTTTCGCCTTCTTGCAAAATAGTATTTACACTTCACATAAGTAGATAAACAGTTCATGAATTTTTAAGTTTTCTCACAAAAGTATACTGTTTACACTTTTAGAAAATAAATCCTCCTAAAGTTTAATGGCGTACTTTTGTGATAAGACTTTTTTTTTTTTTAATTTGCTATAGGGCACATGTGCTCGCTGGAGAGACAGAGAAACAGAGAGTGGGAAAGTGAGAAAACACTCCCCCCCGCCCTTCCCCCCCCAACCCAGGGGACATGGCCATGCTGCAATCCCTTCTCCTCTATTCTCCTGTCAGAATTTTGGGTATGTGCATGTAAGTACCTGGTATGTTTTTAAAGCTACAGAGTCCAGGGCTTGAACTGTGTAGTCAGCCATGTGGGATCCAGCCACCTTAACCACCACACAACTGACTGGCCAGTGATAGCACTTAAAACTCTTCTAGCTGCTTATCTACATATGTACAGATATCTGATAACATGGAACTATATATGTCCTTGAAAAAAGAAACCTGAAAATATCTGATATTTAGATGTGAATTTAGTTGACATTTCCCTCAGCATTGATGAGGGAATGTTATAAATTAACCATAAAGGAAAAAATTTTGCTTTATTAGGATAACTGCATGGTATATCATGAAACACCTAGTTACAAATGCCTCTGTAACATAGACCTAACACCGGGTAAAAAGTAGTTACAGTGTTTATTGCCTCCTCTGAGTAAGACAAGTAGTGGATTTTTTCCTCCTGATTATAGAAGGTGATATAAATATTTTAGAAAAGGAGCGGAGGAGAGAAGGAAAGGAAAAAAAAAAACAAAACTTACCAGAAATGGTGACTATTGCCCACTAAGGAAAGGCTTTGAATGTTTTCAATTTTAGGAGTTTGCAGAAGAGACTAAATTTATAAGTATTTTGCCTTTTAAAGAAAAAAGCAATACTTGAATACTTGATTGACAAGATAGAGATACCAGAAAAATGGTAATATAAAACAGAAAGTAAAACTTCAGTAGCAGAAGCCCTTTAAAGATGGAGGGGAGTACCAGCAGTTGGCATAATGGCTACGTTGCTGCAGTTCAAGTCCTGGACCCAGTGGCTTAAACTCACACTGGGCATGTGTACATGCGTGCCCAAGATCCCGAGAGGAGAACGGAGGAAAAGGGATTGTGGCATAGCCATTCCCCCACCCCCACCCCAGGGAGTGATTTCTCGCTTTTTGTCTCTCTGTCCTGGCAATTGCATGCGCACTATAGCAAAAACCTCTCAAAAAAAAAAAAAAAACTAAAGATGGAGGGGAAGAGCTGTGTCTTTTTGCATCTTGGTGGAAAATGGGATACATATTTTAATACTTTTGGTTTTTGTAGCATATAGTCATTGTCCCCTTTGTGCTATATGAGAGTCTTAGAACTATTTCATATACTTTGCCTGCATAGGTGTCTGTAGTACATAAAATATGGCCCATGAAAAGTGTAGCACAGCCAGAGCGAGTGCTCGTGTTCAGACAGTGCGCCAGCCAGTCTCTGGGTGTGCAGAAGCGAAAACCTTGTTCTCATGCTCTGTTTGTGGCACATTTTAGATTTTGTTTCATTAATTCTTAAATCCCTCTAGCCTGCCGAACTACAGGCTATTACATACCCCTTGGCACCATTTTAACAGCTCATTGAAGAGAGGTTTATAAACTATGTATATGCATTATATAGATATATAAATATAGTGTGTGTGTGTGTGTATGTGTATATATATATATATGCTTCATGATTTTTAAATGAAAAGTACTTCAATGAAATAGAGCAAACGAATTCAGAAAATTTAGAAGTAGCATAGTATGTGGCATTCTGATGGTCCCTTAATTGTTATGTAGTCTGATTTTCTTAAATTTTTAAATCATATGCATCATTAGTATATCACTGTATAATTACAGTTTTAAAAATTTCAAGAGAAATTTAAAAGGTTAAGATTTTTGTAGGCAATACTTATAAGACAATAGGCCTGTCATTCTCTCTTTACAAAATTATCAGTCTTTTAACGTTCTGTTCTTTTTTTCTCATGTGAGAGAGCCTCACATGAAATAATATAGTTTGTTAGGAATACTTCAATACTTGTTAACAATTTAGGAAAGGATTGATGAGACTTAAAAGGGAAGCAAACTTATGATTGTTTTGGTAGTCAAATGAATCATCTATTAAATAATAGTTTGCAAACTTTGTTTTGTGTGTATGTGTGTGTGTGTGTTTTAATTGCCAGAGGACACGTGCACTTGTAGGAAAGACAGAAAGCACCCTTAGTGGGGCAGGGTCACATTGCAGTGCTTTTTCCCTTCACTTGTCTATCTCATTAAGATTTTGTGCAACCACACATGCGCAACTATGTGTTTTTCATGCCACTGGGGCAAGTGGTCAAACCACTGTCAGCCATGTGGCATCTGTCTGGCTATACGCATAGCGCTTAACCACTGCACTATGGAGCCAGCCTTGAACTTTGATTTTTATAAATAAGATCCATGTTACTTGGCAAGGTCTAGAAAGGTATCCCAGAAGCATTACTATGTTAAATTCAAGTTCCTTTGTTTAGAGGCTCTTTTGTTAGAAACAAGGTATAATCCCTTTCTTAAAACTAATGTTTACCAGAGGCGATATGCTGATTGTATTTTTTTTTTAAGATAAAGACTAGAGTGTTTCCTGTTATGTCTCTAAAGTACAATTCCAGTTTAAAGAGAGATTGCATCTGCTTGTAAAGAGTTTTTTTCAAGTTTCACAAAAGAAAGTTAAGGGGCTAGATGGTTGTGTGGAGGCTAAGTAGGGTCCCACATAGCGGACTATGCAGTACAAGTCCTGGATCCAGTTCTTTGAAAAAATGCATAACATACTTGTGTATATGTGCCCCAAATCCCAAGAGAAGAATGGAAGAGAAGGGATTGCCATGTAGCCATTCCTCCCAAGTCTGTTTTCTCACTTTCCCTCTCCCTTACGCGTGCTCTCTCTCTCTTCCCTCTCCCTCTTCCTCCTTCCCTCTCCCACCCCTCTTGCAAGTACACACACCCGATAGCAAATCCAAAATAAGAAGAAAAGATGAGGAGAAAAAGAAATAGTAAGAGGAGATTTAAAAGTTTACATAAAATGGAACTAAAGAATGACTTTCTTTTGGTGCAAAAATATTTTGAAATTCATGCAAAATTTTTTCATGATATGCATTTTCCACGAACTTTTTAAAGATTGCTTGTATTTGAAATAGGCAATACAATCGAGGTTAAGGACATGCGATTTGGAGTTAAAATGACTACTTATGAGCTCTGTGTGACCTTGCATGTTTTTAGTTTTCTTATATATAAAGTGAAAATAGTTTCTACTTTATTGAGTTTTAAGGATGAATGAGATAATGTATGATGTGGTTAGGAGACTGTGACACAGAGTAGACATTTAAGAAGTGGTAGCCCTTATTGTTATTTATATTAATATTATTGGCATTAGAGGCTAGGTAGGCTTTTATGAGGAAAGCTTCCAGGCAGAAGGGAATAGATTGAGCCAAATCATTAAAGATCTAAAGATAGGAATGTCTTTGTCATTATCAGTAGGGGAGAATAGGGAGATAAGACTAGAATAGAACTTGGTATAATATTGCACAGGGCTTTGGGGGCCAAGGTGAAGAGTTTGGTTTTGATTTAACAGATGATAAATAGATTTTTGAGGTTTAAATGGGGAATTGACATAGTCAAAGCTAAATTTTTAGAAAGTTTTATTTCCAAAGAGTTTGCATAATAGAGAAGAACAGGGATGGAGACTAATGAAATAAAACTACCATTTATTGCTGCATGCTTGGTACTACACTGAGGGGTTAACATACTTTATCTTCTTAGTCCTCACTACAACCCTGTGAAGTAAGTACTCCTATTTCTGTTTTACAGCTAGGAAACAAAGTCAGGAAGTGGCATATTTGGGGATTTGAGTCCAAATCACAATTATCTCTTTATAACTGGAAGGCTAGTTTTTAGGCCACTGTGGAATTTGCAGGGTATATCCCTATGTCCTAGCCTGTCAGTTCTAAAAATTCAGTTAATTGCTTATATTATTTTGTAAAATATTGTTTTTCCCTACCAACCAAGGACTTCTGAAGTCTGTCTAGTTATCCAAATCAGTGTTCTCAAATTATGGGTGGAATTTGAAGACATAATAGCCTTTTTTTAGGGCTAGTGGTTTTATTTCCCTCAATTCTTTTTGAATCTGCTTAGCAGAAATGAGTTTATTAGATTCTCTTGACACATATAAAACTCCTAAGTTTCAGAAAGAATTCCAGAATCTTTAAAATAATAATATTTTCAGAATAGTCAAAATACAAAAGTTATTTAAAAAATTCTAGTTATTGTTAAAAATCTGGCTGTAAGGGCCACTATAGATATTAATGCTAGAATAAACTTTAGAAATATATAACTCAGCTCTTCTTTTTAATTTTAGTTTTAATTTGTTACCAGGCACATGCTCTGATGAGAGAGAGGGAAGATGAGAAATTGCCCTCCTCTCATGAGGCATGGTTATGCTTCAATCCCCTCCCCTCCACTTTTACATCCTTTCAGGATCTTGGGCACACACGTACACTTTCTTAGCATGTTTTTCAAGCCCTCGGGTCTGGGACTCAAACTGTTCACTTGGCTGTGTGGGATCGAGCTCCTTAACCACCCCTCCATGGGCTGGTCCTTTTTTATTTTTTAAATGAGGAACCTGAGTCAAAAGGTCATAAAACCAGCACCAATAAAAGTTTCTTGTAGGAATATTTAACCTGTGCTTATGTTTTATAAGATTAAAGTAGTCTGCAAATAAAATTGAATTATGATTTTTTTTTCAAAATTTGTAGAAAATAATTAAGTCTATGGATTCTTTTTACCTTAATGTTTGTTTATAAATTCTTTCAACTTTGATGGCCACAATAAATATTAATGAAAATTTTATTAAGAATTTAAGTATAATAGATTGTTCAGTAATTTTGGTTCTTACCTATATGTGAGCTTATGCTTCTGATTTCATGTGGTCCATTTTTACTAGTGTGCATTTTATTAATTCCCGTGAGGTTATGATATACAGCTGAGATATCAACTCTCAAATTTGGTACCAACTGAAGACTTTTGAAAACCACTGTCTTGTAATACCAGATATCTGAGAGTTATCTATCAGTATCTTCAAGGATGATAAATGCTTTTCTCCCACGCCAATCTGTGGCCTATGGTTAGGGAAGCCAGATTCCACATGGCCAGCCATGGGGTTGAAGTGCAGAACTGGCAGCTGAAAACCACACTGGGCATGGGTGTGTGCATGTGAGCCCCAAATCCTGAAAGGATGGAAAAATGGATAGTGCCTGTACTCACCAACAGAGTACAAGGATTTCCTCCTCACATCTCCGTCAGTATTTATTTATTCATCTTTTTTGATAGTAGTAATTCTGACAGGTATCTGATTGTGATCCTTATTTTATAATAGTGATATTGAGCATTTTTTCCAGATACCCACTGGCCATTTGTATGTCTTCTTTTAAAAAACTTCTGTTTATGTCTTTTGCCCATTTTTAATTAGGTTAATTGTTTTCTTGCTATTGAGTTTTTTTAATTTCTTTATATGTTTTGAATATTAACCTCTTACCAGATGTTTGATTTGCAAACATTTTCCCCTTGGTGGTGTGTATTTTACATGGATTGCAGTTGTAATTGATTATGATGTACTTCCATATAGTTTTAGCTAAAAACTGTTAAATACTCATACCTAATATTACTAACTTGAGTGTTATTTATTCACATATATATTATTACAAATTGTTATAAATTATTTGGACACAAACTTGCTCTTAAATTTAGTTAACTACCGAAACTACACGGGACCAGCATCACAGAGCGTTGCATAACTGCTGTGTCACTGCTGCCGGCCTTGCTTTGTTTTGTTTTTTAATGATTATCTTAGAAATAAAGAGTTGTGGAACCAGCAGTTGGCGTAATGGCTATGTCGCTGGACTCCCATATAATTGACCACGGTTTGAGTGCCGGACCTGGTGGCTTAAACTCACACTGGGCACATGTGCATGTGCGCCCAAGATCCCGAGAGGAGAATGCAGGAGAAGGGATTGCGGCATGGCCACCCCCCCCCGGGGGGGGGTGATTTCTCGCTTTCTGTCTCTCTGTCTTTCTCTGTCATTCTGGCGAACATATGCGTCCTATAGCAGAAACCTCTCCAAAAAAAAGGAAAAAAAATGAAATAAAAGAACAGGAGCCAGGAATATGTGGTTACATTTTTGAGTAACTGGTAAGAGCTAAGTCCTGTTGAAGAGCATTTGTCTGCCTTTTTTTGTTGACATTTAATGTCCTTGAAGTCAGCTCCAATACTAACAGTAACCAGGCAGGTAAGGTGGGCCTGAAGTAGCTGGATCTTCCTCCCTCCCAGTTTTCTGTACCACTAGATTATTTTTTCTCTCAACTTAGATTTCTATAAGACATAAGCACATTGGAATTTTTAGATTGCTTTAGGTATAGAAGCATTTATAAAGTATACTTAACTTTAATATATGTATCCGTATTTATATATAATAGAATCTCAGTTCTTTAACACTGAGAATTTTTCTTTGAAAAGTGGAGCTAATATGTGTGCATGACCTGTAAAGAATTATTCTCTTTCTTGTAAAATCTTAATAAAATAAAATATGGAAATCATAGTCTCCCTTTTTAAATGGAAAATTACCTATAAGCACAATGATTGGTAATTTATTATACATGATTGGAATAAGAATAAGGGCAGTGAGAACTTTTATCATTTTAGATTCCCTTCCCCCCAGAAATATCATGTGCTGCTTTGTGGATAATAATTGACTGGAGCAGGTAGAGAACAGAGGAAACTTTTAAATCATTTTATTATCTTTAATTTTATGGCTGCACCTGTTTTTGTGATAAATTTCATGACTGAATGAAGTTGCCATTCTACAATCTAGATTTTTTTCTCCCTGCATTTCCACTCATCTGCAGACACCGGGAGGACTAATATGGGCTGCTAAGTCTTATGCTATGTTTCGTAATTTAGAATCAGTAGTTATAAAACCTTTGTACATAAATCAAGTGTTTTTAAAAGAAGTCATCTTAAACATAAAAATGGAAACTGTTAATATGTAAGAATCTTAACAAATCTTAGTAATTAATTTTCTTCTAAAGCAGAAAAAAGGTAAGGCAAATAACCTAACATTTTTATTCAGACTTTCATACACAGTATAATATTGATATCTAGAGAAGGCAGCATACTAGTTAAAATCAATAATTTACATTTGTAGCTCTAGAAATATATCATTAGAAAAGATGGTTTCTAATGATAGTGATATAAAATGTCCTAACATCAAAATACTTCATCATGACGGTAGATCTTCCAGAGTTAAAATAGTCATATCCTGCTGCTTTCATTCTTTCCAAAGTGAAGAGTTTATTTTTTATTTAAAAACAAAAAAGAAAAGAGTTTGATTTTCCTAGTACTATTTGTAATGGCATTGTTAAAAGTGCTGGCATAATAATATTGAATCGTCTGAAAAGTCATGACCCATTTTTGCATAGTAAAAATCCAGAAAAACAGACTTTTCCGATCACCCAGCATATTCTTGGTAGTTTCTACCCACTTACTTAAAAAGTCACAGGCTGTGATTTTGCTTTACGGGAATGCTCTGATATAATGGTTGGCTTGAGTAGGGTTTGTTCTAGCTTTGGTTTCTACCAGTTAATAACACTTTTGACCCTAAGGCAGATAAAACCCATTCTCTGGCCTTTTTCTTCATTTGTAGCTTGAGAAGAATACTCCTCTAACTTTCCATTTTTGTACAAATCAGATAAAATTAGCATTCAGAAAATCACTCTGGAAACTATAAGCAGGCTAGTAAGGGTACTATTCTAGGTAAGACTTTCACAATGTATCTTTTTAGACTGGAGATATTTTATTTACATTATAGGGACTTTTCCAAGCACTTTGTGTGTGTGTGTGTGTGTGTGTGTGTGTGTGCGCTATAGGGCACGTACACTTGCCAGAAAGACAGAGAGACAGAGTGACAGAAAGCAAGAAATCACCCCCTGGGGGGGATGGCTATGCCGCTATCCATTCTCCTCCATTTTCTTGGGATCTTGGGCAGGCATGCACACGCACCCGGTGTCAGTTTAAGCTGCCAGATCTGGGACTTGAACCACAGTCGACTACATGGGAGTCCAGCAACGTAGCCATTACGCCATCTGCTGGCCCCCCAAGCACTTTATTTTTATTATCTATTTTTCTCTCCTTCACCCCCACGAGAATTCTGATTAATCTTTCCTTCATTAATGCTTTCTGTGTGCCAGACATTGTGGTATATGTTGAGGGTTCCGAATTTTCACCTATGAGGAACTCATAATCTGCTGGAGGAGAAATGTGTATTTCTTTTAAACTCACATCACAGTGCCATTACTGATATGAAAGTCACCAAGAAGTCACCCAAATCATGGTTTAAACAAACCTATAGTAGTTCTCAATTATTTAGAGCAACAACGTCAAACAGAGCTTTCTGAAGTGATGGGAAAATAGGAGCCAATAACCATATATGGCTGCTGAGCTCTTAAAAGAAATGCCCACAGGTAGACCTGGGTAAGCTGGGTTCCTCTCCTTTTGCCTAGGGACTAACAAACAGTACCAACAGCCAGCATCCAGTTGCTCTCAGTCATGGGAGGTTAGCATGTGCCCAAGGAGGGTTAATCTGCCCCTCATGATTTAGAGTTGACAATATATTAAACAGTATATTCCAGTAATTTGAGCTTTTATGTACTCAGAATTTATGTGTGTTTTTGTTGTTGTTTTCGCTATAATGTTGCAGTTTGGACCAGAAAATCCCTTTAGGACACAGCAGATGGCTGCCCCTAGAAATATGCTTTCTGGATATGCTGAACCAGCTCACATCAATGATTTTATGTTTGAACAACAAAGAAGAACTTTTGCCACATATGGTAAGATGATAGATAAAACTTAAAACAATTTCAAGTTTAGCCTTATTAGAAGTGCTATTGTATGTATGAAATCTATTTAATCTTCTGGGTTTTTAAACTTGTCAATCTAGAGTCCTTCAAAAAGGGCAATACATCTTCTTATACACATCCATAAATATTTATATAGATGGGGAAGTAAAGTAACATTTTAAACTGTCATTTAAAATCTACTATAATTTCCGAATACAGGTGATTATTTTATAATGAGGTTACATCCCAATAAACCAAGTCGAAGGTATTGTTAAGTTGGAAATACGTTTAGTATGCCTAACCTAACAAACATTACAGCTTAGCTTAGCTTACCTTATAGTTCTCCTAACACTCACAGTGCTCCTGTTGGGCAACAACATCTAACACAAAGTCTATTTATAATAAAGTGTTGACTGGCTCTTGTAATTTATTGAAAACTATACTGAAAGTAAAAAATAGTGGTTATATGGCTACTCAGAGTACAGTTTCTACTGAATGCATATTTTCACATCATTGTAAGAAAAAAAAATAGTAAGTTGAGCCATCCTAAGTCAGGGAGTATCTGTACTAAAAATATTCTATGATCTTAAAAACCGAAAGTTCTTTAGTATTATACTTGGTAGTGAATGTCCATTATATACATATTGCTGATAAAATTGCTATAGGGCGCATGTGCTCGCCAGAAGGAGAGAGACAGAGAGACAGAAAGCGAGAAATCATCCCCCAAGGAGGATGGCCATGCCGCAATCCCTTCTCCTCTATTCTCCTCTCGGGATCTTGGGCACACATGCACACATGCCCTTGCTGGTAAAATTGGTAAATGAAAGAATAATGTCAAGCAGTTACTTTTATTGTTATTATTACTACTTTATTTATTATTTATTATAGAGTAGGTGTGTACGCTCATGCACATGTGAGTGAGTGACTTCTGCAGGGCCTGGTCACACCAAAGCCCCCTTCCTCAGTCCTCCAGCCCATCTGATCTTGGGCACTTCCGTGTCTGCCAGTTGTGTTTCCAGCTGCCCGAGCCGGGGATTTTAACAGTGGGAACCATGTGGGCTCTGACTTTTCTTGCTTGGGCAGCGTGTTATCGTTGTGCCATGAGCCAACCAGAGGTTGCATTTTTCTAAAATCTTAATATACACTAGCTAACTTTACTCTGTTTCTCAAATCTTATCTTTGAAATGTTTTTTCTTGATCTCTGAGGAGTAGCAGGAAATAGTCCAGTCACAAATCATTATGTCAAATAATTATTGTCTAATTATTTTTAAAAATTAATATATGTGAAACCAGTTGTAAAAAGGATCGTCATACATTAGATCGAATTTTACCATCACAGGGTTGTAATAATCGACTAATAGTATGCCCAAAGTCTCAGCTAAGGCTGCATACCACTGAAATCACCCCAAAGAGTTCAGTGACACTTCCAGTCTAGTAAAATGGTTACAAATGCATTGTACTCATTGCTTACATAAGGTTCCATGTGACTCTAAAGTATCGTGCAGCACAGAAAAGTCAACTCGATTGCATCACTAAATTACTATAGCCTATATTAAAATAGATTTTTTAAAAGATTGCTTATTTTCTCCAACTTTAAGTGGTCTCAGGAAATATATTCGATAACTTATTTCCTTTAAAACTAGAAAACAAAGCCCAATTATGTTTATTTACCTGATAGCAAGAATCAGCATTTAAAACTATTCAGTTGGCTTTAAACCTGGGTTCAGTAATAGGCTTATTAAAAAGAAAAAAAATAATAAATAGCCTGTGACCTTGCCTCTCCCAGCAGGTGGTCGACTAGGATACAAGTTGAGCTATTTAGTGACTTAAAGACAAAACATGAATGGTGGTTCTAGAATATTAGGCAGCCTGGAATAAAGGGAATGACCAGTTATAAACCAAGAAAATTGTGATCTCCCCTGAGGTAGATCTTAGAACTGAAAACAGTTTGTTTTAGCTGAATAAGTGGACCAACCTCAGGTTGAACACTGTTCTCTTTTCTTTACCTGCAAATACAGAGCGAGTGTAGCTCGTCGGTTTAAGTTCCATCATTTTCTCATAGAAAGTCCTTATCTGATTTAGGTTTCTATGCCAGCTTCCTGTTTGTTTCGTTTTGTTTTTCACTCTTAAACAGGGAAAGCCTGAGACCTGTTACCCTCCTTCATTTGCAAAGTATCAATGAGTAAACCTTCCATGTATCTTACACTGTTATCTGTAAAGCAGGGGACATGGCACGGTAATCGTTTTACCTAGTGTCATATTTATAGCTCTGAAAAATCCCTGAGATAAATCACAGAACAAACACTAACCCTACTTTTCGTCTTATTTTTAAATATTATAGTATTGTATGATCTCAGTGAATTATTGGAAAATTTGTATTCTACAATACATTTAGTTTATCATAGAGCCCACCTTGAAAGTCCTTATCAGTAAAGATGCTCTCACTTACTGTGTCATCCCATTTACTTTATCTACAGTTTTGGTTTTTAGGTCTCATTTATTGTATCTCTCCCGACTTCTGAGTCTCTCAAAGGTCTGCGTGAACTCTTTGTCCTATTTTCCTCTCTTTAACTTTTAGATTTCTTTCCTGCTCCCTGCTGGCCTTACTTGGGACTTCTCACCCAAAATTTCTCTCTACGCCAGTCTATGGAAGCAGAAAATAGAATTTTAATTAAATACCTGTAGTCTTACTAAAAGTCATTTTAATACGAGTTTGAACTTCAGTTTTAGAAACTTCTATTTACATTTTTAAATCACCTTAGAAATAGTCTGATGAATGAAGATGCCAAAATAGTCTGATGAATGAATGAGTCATTTAGATTTGGTTCCACTTTTCTTATTTAAAATGTGATATATATATATATTATACTGCAGTCAAATGTCTTGTAGTGAATATTTCTGTGCATAAGACTTTATGTTTTTTTTTCCTTATTTTCTGAAATGAATTTCCAAGAGTAAGTCAAAGAATAGAAGTATGTTAAAGCTTTCATTATGTATTATCAAAGTGCTTTTTGGGACCAGCAGTTAGTGTAATGGCTATGTTACTGGACTTCCACGTAGTCGACCGCGGTTCGAGTCCTGGACCCGGTGGCTTAAACTCACGCCAGGTGCGTGTGCGTGCGTGCCCAAGATCCCAAAAGGAGAATGGAGGAGAGGGGATTGCAGCATGGCCATCCCCCCTGGGGGGTGATGTCTCACTCTCTGTCTCTCTGTCTCTGTCTGTCTGGCGAGTGCACACGCCCTATAGCAAAAACCTCTCCAAAAAAAAAAAAAAAAAAAGGGCTTTTCAAAAAAATTCTCTTAATTTATTCTGCCACCACTACCTAGTCCTATTTTTATTTATCAAGAGCCATAGGATTATTTTTCCTTAATTTGTTTGAACACAGCTTATGTAGTAGCTACATACTCTATTACTAGTTGAAGGGATATATTCATATGCTAGTAAGTATCCTTACTTCTCTTACCAAAGAAACATAAATGATGGTTTATGAAACAAACATACTGCTTAAAGATTGAGAAAAAAGACTGTCATTAATGGGAATGGCATTTTCAAAATAACTACATTTTATATCATTCTTTTTACCCTGTTTATATTTTTATCATTTAATAGTTTAGCCCTGTAATATCCATTACCAAAATGAAAAAGGTTTCTGCATTTCCAAATATGAAATGTAAGCATAATTGTAAGCTCTTAGAATATTTAAAAAGTGAAATTTGATATCTTAGCCAGACAGGCTTTTAGTAACGTCAATATACTGGATTTATCTTATAAGATAATTTTTATTCCGCTGAAGTCAGTCGTGGTCAAGTCTGAGATTTGGGTTAATTGTTCTAAATAGAAATATTTTAATCACTCAGGAAGGAAGGATTGGTCCTAAGTTAAAGAGATCATTTTTGACATCTAGAGAGAAATGTGAAATTAATGTATTTATAGTAACAAACTGAATTGTTAATGGCAAAATGGAGTCAATAGTTTACACTTTTTTTCCCTTTCAGGTTATGCATTAGACCCTTCATTAGATAATCACCAAGTATCTGCTAAATACATTGGTTCTGTAGAAGAAGCTGAAAAAAATCAAGGTAATTTATTTGAAATATATGATATCCCTGATTAGTGTCTTGCAGATTGAGTTTAGTTAGAGAGTAAGAAAAAAGTACCTTTTTTTATTTTTTTATTTTTAGAGAAAGATTTTGCTATAGGGCTTGTATGCTCACTGGAGAGACAAAGACAGAAAAAGAAGAAATCACCCCCCTGGGGTGATGGCCATGCTATGATCCCTTCTTCTTCATTATCCTCTCGGGTTATTGGGTATGCACATTCCCGGAGTGAGTTTCAAGCCACTTGAACCATAGTCGACCATGTGGGAGTCCAGTGCCTTTAATCACTATGCCACCTCCTGGCCCTGGCTCTAGATTTTTTTTAAAAAAGCTTAGATGATAGAGTGATTTATTAGGTCATTGGGAAAGTCATGATGTTTGTTTCTACGTTTTTCTATGCACAAATGGATTGTGACTTTCCTGATGACTCAGTAGTTTAGAGCTTGGATTTGCTACTTACTAGCTGTGCTACTTTATGGTAAGACAGCAGTATATAGAATATATCTCTTTGGGTTGTTTTTGAGTACTTGGCACTGGGCCAGTCCTGTGGAAATCATTCCATAAATTATAATTTTAGGTAATTTGGTCAGTAATTGTTGTCAAGTTACATTTTAACAGAGCAGAAAAAGTTTCATTTTGCTTGTCTATGAACATAATCTTGGATTGCTTTGAAGGCTGAGTCTGAATACATGTTCTAAAAGATATGTTTGTGTTCATATCCATTTTGTATTTATTATAACAGACCAAGGCATTAAACTCTAAATGCATCTTGTCACAAAACTCATTAGCCCATTGGAATCTTAGCCATAAAATGCCTTTGAAGAAAGGATGTTTTGGTAGTGCAGGGACACTTTTACATTACTAACTATAGGCCCTGTAGGACCAAGCTGCCCTCTGTGTGTGAGCTAAATTCTTGTTAAAATAGAATTTTAAGAAACTTCTATTGTAACACATAGCCTAAAAGGAAACTAATTCAAGTTTATATAGGTACTTTTTTTTTTAAGTTAGACCTATGAGGGCCACATTTTTTTTTTTTTCATTTTTTTAATACAGTCACATTTTTTAGCTTACAAGGTGATCATTTCAATATGTGAACATTTCTCCCTGGTCCAGTTGATGAAAATATAACAATACTACCTCCCTGTCTCAACAATGCTGTCTCCATATCCCTCCTCCAAATGTTTTTCCCCAGAGAGGGCCACATTTATATATAAATAGATTCTTAGTAAATTTGAGCCTGTGACTCCCATAAAAACTTTTGTTTTCCCGATTGGGTGACTAAACAGAGTATACACCTCCTATATCAAATCAAAATCTCATCCAGAAATACCCTCCTTCCTTTTTTTGTTTTTAAATGATTAAGATTGATGATATTAGTTATCAAATTTAGATTGAGATCACTTGGAATATCAGATTTTTGTGAAATCTTGTTTAATGTATGTTATTCCATTACAAGTGAAGATAAGTTATTAAGTACTTACTGTAATTTAATTCAGTTTTAAATATAAATTATAACTTACTCTTGCTTTCAAAGAATATCATTACTTAGCAATATCGTATCTCTGAATGTCTTTTAAAAAATGGTTAAAAATCCACTAATACACGTTTTTGATTCACTACAAGTGTTATGTATCATTGTAGAATTGCATATATGGGTCTTTTCCATAAATGTATTAGGATTAGCAAAATACTGCAGTGGTAGAAAGCTTCTCTCTCCAGAGGTAGAATCTCTTTTTGTGTAGCATGAGTTGGTACATGTGGCAGATTAATACAGCTTTTATTTTTGGTTTTGTTTTTAATAAACTTTGGTCACTTGAGGAATCATCTTTCTTTAAACATATAAAATACAATTACATATATCAGTTGACCTTTCTTTCAAAAATATTCACATCGTGATCTTTTAATTATTTTTAATATAGGTTTAACTGTATTTGAAACTGGTCAAAAGAAAACAGAAAAGAGGAAAAAGTTCAAAGAAAATGATGCATCTAATATTGATGGTTTCTTGGGACCGTGGGCAAAGTATGTGGATGAAAAAGATGTAGCCAAACCTTCAGAAGTAAGCTTTGATGTTTTTCATTGTCAGTTCTGGTATACGCTATGTCTCCATGAAGGATATCTACATTAATAAACGAGATTTCCTCAGAGAACCCAATGACTCATCAGAATTTTTCTTCCTTGGTTGACTGAGAAAAAGACAGGAACATTTTTTTCCTTGGGAATATTGTTATATACTTTTAGTTCTGATTTATTTTCCTCTATACTTTTTGGTTAAAATGTAATATTGAACATTTTTAAACAAAAACTGCCTTAATAATGCTGTTAAGCTGCCATGATAGCTGCTTTTCTGATGCCAGACATTCAGAGAGTAACTACAGAATTGGCCTTTCTATTAGACTAGAACCGATGGTGGATTTTATTTATTTATTAATTTCCTTTTTTTTTTTTTGAGAGATTTTCGCTATAGGGCGCGTGCACTCGCCCGACAGACAGAGAGAGACATAGAGACAGAAAGCGAGAAATCACCCCCCAGGAGGGATGGCCACGCCGCAATCCCTTCTCCTCCATTCTCCTCTCGGGATCTTGGGCACGCACACACACGCGCCCGGCGTGAGTTTTAAGCCACCAGGTCCGGGACGCGAACCGTGGTCGACTACGTGGGAGTCCAGCGACATAGCCATTACGCTAACTGCTGGTTCCCATTAATTTACTTTTAAAAATTAGCAAGTTTTATCTACATTGTTTTAAAAGATAGAGTACTGTGAAGTTTATAAAATAGGACCTGGAGAGCTCCATCTTTCCTTTGCCCACCTACTAATCCCACTATCTCCATGAGCCACCCACCGTTGTAGATCCCAGGGATACAGCCATAGACAAGATCAAGAAAATTTTATCCTTACAAACTTAAGTTATAGCTGTTACTTATGCCTATATGTCTTAATAATATGCATATGCAGCTACTTAAGTAATATCTGTTGAGTTCTTCGATATTACACACAAAGACTTAATACTACCCCATTTTCCTTCCCAGGCTTCTCCAAAAATAATTATGTTACAAATCAGCTGTCATTGCTTTTATCCTTATGACTATACAAAAGCTATTTACTGAAGAACAGCATTATTTACTAAAATTCAGTGTCCTATCTAGTACTAGATTTTCTAATTGCCATGTCTTTTCACTTATATTAGCACAGCATGTTAAATTTACTTCTAGGTATTCCAAGATGAGTTTTGTATGAAATCAATTTAAAAATATTATCCAGTATCTGTTATTTCTTCAGTGCCATTTTGTAATCTGCAGAAAAGGTAATAATCTCTGCTTATGGAAAAGTTGAGATAATTATCCTAGGACACGTACTTGTAGCTATTACTGCACCAAAAATCTAGACCTCATAAAAGAATTTATAATCAACCGTGGACAAAATAGGTTCTAGACTATTCATTTTAAAATTTGTTTCTTACCCTAGCTATCGTACTGGATTGTCAGGAAAGTCATGACACATTTTTGCACAGAAAAAAGAAAAAAAAAAAACCAGAAAAATACATCATATCTTTCCCAATGACGTAATAGCACAGGCAGTAGGGCATCCCTGGGTGATACTGGAGCCTTATGGGAAGGCCCAGGACTCTGATCTCAGGTCAACTTGAGCATACCAGGTGTGCCCTTGGGTGGACCTGTGCTCCTGGCTGGCTAGAAGCCTATGGGAAGGATCTTGGCACGACAGTCCCTGTTGGAGCTCTCTCTCTCTCTTTCTCTCTCTCTTTTTCCTTCCTCTCCTCCCACCTATCTCTGAGGAAATAGATAATAAAATTCACCCCCTCATTTGCATAGGAAGAACAAAAAGAATTGGATGAAATCACAGCAAAGAGGCAGAAAAAAGGCAAACTGGAAGATGAGAAACCTGGGGAGGAAAAGACAATCTTGCATGGTAATGTATTTTTATACTTCATTTTTATGAAAAAATGTTGTATTTTATATTCTGTTTTTGTTGATATGGTATCAATTGCCCTTACTCTGTTAGCTGCTATAAAATCATTATATTAAGAATAATTATACTGGACAATTGGCATCCCCAAGAAGTTTTAGGTGACTCTTCTGTGTACTGAAATAGGAGCAAAAACAGCATGATTAATGGTAGCCATAGATATTTTTTGAAGTGTTGATGAATTTTAAAAAATGATAGATAAGAAAGAAATCAGATGGCCCACAATTCATTTTCTCTAAGATAAAATTAACTCTTACTCTTGTATTTCTAGTGCCCTGTTCATTTTAACTATTTGAACATAAGCCAAATATTCAGATACCCTCATAGTTTATTTTAGTTTGTTTTGTTTTTTAGAGGTTTTTGCCTTAGGGCATGTACACTACTCAGAGGAGGAGAGAGAGACAAAAACAATAAGAAGGAAAGTGAGAAATTACCCCCCCTCCCCTGAGGGATGGCCACACTGCAATCCCTTCTCCTCTGTAATCTTGATCATGCATGCATACATACCCAGTGTAAGTTTCAAGCCACTGGGTCTGGGACTTAAACCACTTGAACCACAGTCGTCCATGTGGGAGTCCAGTGATGTAACTACCACACCATCTGCTAGCCTCACTCTCACAGTTTATAACTGTTGCTAAGTTATACTTAAGAAGAATAAACTTTATTTTTCATTAGAATAGATTAGAGATTAAAACTCAACTACTTACTTGACTTGTGGAAGGAAGTGCATATCCACCAAAATTAATTACAAATATTTTAGAACGTACTTGTTCATTATTAATTAATTATATTTAGGAAACTAGGTAGTAATTATCTGAAACTGTAAAGAATATTTCAGCACCGATAGTGTTGATTATTCTAATGTTGGATCGCATCAACTATTTAGGTTTGATAGGACATATGTTTGAATTCCAAGCTCTAGATTTCTCTCCAAGGAGTCTATACAGTACTGTGGTGTTTGTGACCATGATAACAATAGCAAACCACCTTTTGTTGAGTACTTGCTTTGTGCCAAGCATACTGCTAAATGCTTTTCATACATCATCATCGTTGTTTAATTCCCACGAGTGACTTTTACTGTAAAAATCAAGCTAAAAGTGTGAAAGAAAGATCATTGATATTTTTTGTTTTAACTTCCTTCTTATTCTCTTTTGCTTCTGCTTCTTTACCAGTGACTCACAAGGCCTGAGTATTATCTTTTCTTCCCTCCCTGTAATTATACTACCGTGAAGTCCTTATTATATGTCACTGAAAAGTTTAACTAAGGAATAGAAGTAGAGATCCTCTTTAAAGGTTTAATACTCTGGATATTTAGGAATTTCAAAATACTACCTCTAGTTCTAAATAATAGCCGTGATTTCAGGCAGGTAGATCTTAGCTGACTTGTGATCATCATCTAAGTGTTATTACTTAAACATTAATGTGGAATGATAGGTCTATGAATAACATATTTTTTGTCATCTCGTTACCATGACAATGGCTTACATTTGTCGATTGCTCTTCTTTGCCTTCTTATTCCAGTTAAAGAAATGTATGACTATCAAGGCAGGTCCTATCTTCACATACCTCAGGATGTTGGTGTTAATCTGCGGTCAAGCGTGCCACCTGAGAAGTGTTACCTCCCCAAAAAACAAATTCACGTGTGGTCTGGACACACAAAGGTCAGCAAGTTGGTTATTTCTGCTTATTGTAATGTTGTAATAGCAAAGCCAACATAAAGTTTCAGCCACTAATGTTGATTGTTCAGTTGATGTAGGGACATATCAGTCCCTCAGTCTTCAAGGCCATTGGGACTGGCTGTGACTTAAGCTCCCATGGTTCACTGTCCTATCCCCTCCTTGTAGCCGGGGCCTTTTCCTACAAGTTCCTGTCACCATCTAGGTACTGAGTCAGTAAACAATGGCAAGTACTAGTATAGCCCTTTTGCTTGGCCTCAGTAATTTTGCCTTGGCTTTTGGGGTTATCACACTTCAGAGATTAGATCCTTGGTTTATAAACTATGGTAATACTTAAACTAATACAGAGACTACATACATGAAAGTTTTGATTTTGGTAATTTTTTGTCATCTACACTATTCCAACTGATAATTTCTAGCTCTTGGCAAAGAAACTAAGTAAAAGAAGAATGAGAAGTGGCAGCATTAGCAATTCATTAATTCAGGAATCCCTTGGGTGAGAATGTCAATATTAGAGATTTAAAAAAAAAAAAAAAAGACCTTCAGAAGCTTAGTGTCAATAAGGTCTGCTTTAGGAATACTATTGAAGGCTGTTTGGGATTGTGATTTATGAAAGGAAGAAAAATAGCTAATTAGTAGCTTAAAATATGCTGTCTATTCCTTGCTTAATTTTAGCTGGTATTTAAAATACCTCTGGTTGCTAACTGTAAAATCTCTTTATAGGGTGTCAGCGCAGTCAGATTGTTTCCCCTCTCTGGCCATTTATTGCTGTCATGTTCCATGGACTGTAAAATTAAGGTGAGTTTTCTGTAACAGAGTAGGAGTACTACAAAGCTAACCCTTTGATGAAGTCTTTTGGTTAATTATAAATAAATTTGGGTTTGTTGGGCAGTTAATGGCTGATTATTTTCTCTTAGGCACTATGAAGACAGCAGTTTATGAACTGCTTCCAAACATGTAGGGTCAGATACAGCTTTGCAGTTCAGTTGACTGGGCCCTTTTTAAAACTAAGACAACTGATTTGGGCTAGTTCTGTGGCCTGGTGGTTAAAGCAGCCAGGTCCCACATGGCCTATCACGTGGTTTGAGTCTCAGACCCAGCTTGGGAAACACCCCCAGCGTGTGTGTGTGGTTGCTGAAAAATCTCAAAGGTGAGATGGAAGAGGGAGAGTGTGGCATAACCATTCCCCATGGGGCTTTCTTCTCTCCCTGTCTGTGTCTTGCTATCCCTCTGGCAAGCCCTCCTGCCACAAAAAAAAAAAAAAAAAAAATCACTTTGGCTTTAGTTAGTTAAGTATCTAATCCCCAATAATACATTTTTATAAAGGCCTCAGATATGTAACTGAGTGAGGTAGAGAGGATGCATGATAGAAAACCCATTGTTAGAGAGTAGACAATGTAATTCCTTCTTTTTCTTCTGAGTACTAGTAGACTCCAAGTAGAAGAAATGTCCTCAGCCCCTTCTCCCATTTTTTCTAGTCCGGGGAAACCACCTTAGCTCTGGTCAGCTGTAGAGTCGGAGGTTGAAGAAATCTCAGTTGCCAGTTCACGTCAGCTTGAATATGGGGAAAGCCTGGGGAAAAAAATCTTAAATCCAGAAGGATAGTTCTTATCTCTTTTGTGTCTTCTCAGTGTCCGGATCATTGTGGTGGTTCAATAAACACCAACCCTATAGTGCTCTTAGGGGTTGGAAAGTTGTATCATTAAAATTTTATCCTTTGTAAATAATTCATGGATATTAATAAGACAGAAAGGCAGCTTCTTTCCACAGGAGCAACCATTTTGGCATTTATCTCTGATAACGTAAAATAGCAAGCTAACAGTTTATAGTAAAAACCCTTTTGTATTTTAACTTTCACTTTATACAGTGGTTTTGGTTTTGGTTTTGATTTCTTCTGAGAGGGAGAATACTCCAACAGAGTCTTCATGTTGCGATCTACCCGCAGCCTCAGCCAGAGTCACGGGCATACACATATACCTGGTGTGTACAGGGATAGTCCAGGACAGGAACTCAGGACTTGCCCATGTGAGTCAGCATTGCCAGGCTCTATGCCACTGCAGCTGACCTATACAATCTGCAGTACTTGTGATTATGGTCTTCTTTTCGCCCAAATAAAGAAACATAGAATTCAGTTCAGTTCACTTCTATAAGCATTTATTAGGTACATATTATGTTCAGGGGACTGAGGATAAAAAACCATTAAGGCACTGTCCCTGCCCTTAGGGTGATCATTTCATTATGATGTAAATGATTGTTACAGAGGCAATACAGAGAGATAAGGTATTCTAGTTTCAAAGAAGAAGCATACAAGGGGACTTCAGAAAGTATGCCTTTATTTTAGTCCCTCTCAAAATTGGACTTCATGCATAGTTTTTACACAATATATGCATTTTCCATGAGTTTTTTGAAGACCACTTCTACCTCAGTAAGAAGGTTTAATAAGTAAGGGAGTGAGGGAAGATGAATTTGCTTCTGAGACGAGTGAACAGAATGAATCAGCATGGTATGTGCTGAAAGCTACAACAGTTTTATGCTTGCTAGAACGTAAAATGTAAGAGACAGAGAATGATTACAGCCATGGGCAAGGAACCAGGTCTCAGAGGTCCTTGCCTGGCATGCTATGGGAACTGAGACTTGACGCTATTGGCACTGGGTGGCCAGGAAATGCTTTTCCTTTTAGAGCACAAGCACAAGTCCACAACTTTGTCGACGACTGGCTTTGAGGCAGGAAAGAATAAAGCTAGTTTTGAAGCTATTATATTAGTCTACGTTACCTATGACGAGAATTATGAGCCTGTTTATAGTCTAGATCATTTTCACATTTCTGTAATACTTATTATTTCAGAAAAGTAGGAGGGAAAAGGGCTTTCAACATCAAAATGTTATATACATAGCAGTTTTGATAACATTTTTTTCTTTTTAAGAGAGATTTTGTTAAAGAATTATTTTATTTAACTTTATTTATTTATATTATTTAACTTTATTTACTTATATATTTTAATTTGACCACAAAGGGACGGAGAGAAAGAGAAAGTGAGAAAGCAAACCACCAGGTCCACAAATCGAACCCTGGTCAACCATGTGGGAGTCGAGTGCCTTTAACCACCGCACCATCTGCTGGCCCCAAAAGAGTTTTGTTACTATAGGGCACATGTTCTCGCTAGACAGACCAAGACAGGAAGTGAAAAATCACCCCCTAGGAAGATAGCCACACAATCCCTTCTTCTCCATTCTCCATTTTGGGCACACATATACATGTACCTAGAGTGAGTTTCAGGCCACCGGGTCTGGGACTCGAACCATGATTGACCATTTGAAAGTCCATCATCCACCGGGTCTGGGACTCGAACCATGGTTGACCATTTGAAAGTCCAGCATCTTAACTACTATGCCACTTGCTGGCACCAACACTTAATTCTTTTAAAAGTGGTTCATAGTATTACAGACATGGAAACATGTCATCATAGAAAAGGTATAAAATAGAGAAAAGAACAATAAGGAAATAAAAATCACCTGTATTAACTTCATCTATAATTATGTTCTCTTGAACATATTTTGATGTACAGATCTTCAAAACTCATTTTTAAGTGTGTGTTCATGTACGTATTTGTGTTCCAAATAATAAAAACTGTCAGTGTCAAGGATAGTTAATGATCAGACCCCCATTCACACAGAGCTATGCACACACATAGCCAGGATATGACTATTGTTAGTGACCGAAAGACTTAGTAAATGTAATGTTTCTGTGTATTGTTCTTCTTTTTCCCTAGCTCTGGGAGGTTTATGGAGACCGGCGCTGTCTACGAACATTTATTGGTATGACTTCTTTTCTGTCTAATAAAAAATCTGTCTGGAGAGAAATTTTTAAAGTAAAAAAACATTATTAACAGTAATTTTACCACACTGACATGAAGGCAAGTCTTTATAGACTTGAGCTGAGTCTGGAAGGAGAAGTTTCTTTAGGTAAACAAAGAAAGAGAACTAGGAAGCAAAACCAGCAGAAGTAAAAGAAAAAAGTGATGTGTGAGAGCATGCTGCTTTGGGGGGAGTACGTGTGCTTCAGAATGGCCGGGCTGTGGAGCATGGTGAGAGACCCAAGTGGAGAAGAGTGGTGGGAGGGGTGGAGTCTGGAGGACCTCGTGTTCCATTAGTAGAGTTTAGACTCCATCCTGAGCATGTGCGAGAGCCATTAGGCACTCTTACAGGAAAACACTGTGGTCTCAGGTTTACAAAGATCATCTGGCAATGTGGGGTGGGTGGGTATGGGTAGGACAAGCTGGAGGGAGGGGAATGAATTACGTGGTTATTTCACTTAGAGACGACGGGAGTCTACCTTGAAGCCTCAGAGATAGAGGAGAAGGAGACTATTCCCAGTTAAATTCAGTGCGTTTTAGTTACAGGATGGGAGTGATGAGAGTGAGGCAGGAATCAAGGCCGGATAATGTTGGAGAACAGCAAGAGCAGGAACATAGGAGGGTGATGAGGTTTGGACTTGTTGAATTTGAGCTGCTGTTGGGATATTGGGGTGAAAATAGTCAGTAAGCATTAGATAGCCAAATGTTCAGCTTTGAAGAGAGGTTGGGGATTGGCAGTTGAAGTAGATAAAAGGATGAGATGGAGAGGACTCCTTGAAAAGAAGAGGGCCAGAGGGAAGACAGCTTTGTGACAAACCAGCCTCCTTGGTACAGAAAATGTTATTGTCTTTGTCAAATTTCACATGAAGGCTGGTTACTCTTTCCAAATTTAACTGTACCACATTGAAACTCTGTGTGAAGCATAGTGACTCTGTTTTTAGATTAAAGTGGGAGTCTGTTTCATAGTTACGATTCTAGGACCTCACTGCACGAATAAATACTGCCCAACATACCCCAGCAGTCTAAGAGAAGATTTGTGGAAAGACTCTTTGCTGTGTACAGGGAAACAAAATGTCTCTGTCAGATATAGTGGGTTTGGTCCCATTTGTCTCCTGTACTGGCAGGCCATTTTTCAGTGGAAAACTGAACTTTTCTTACATAGGAAGATGAGAACTCTTGCTGGGACCTGTGCCGTCAGAAAGAAAGTCTTATCTCCATGACACATATCACCTGCCTGGGTGTTCAGGGCTGTCGCGTGTGGTTGACAATGTGTGCAACACACATTTTGTCCAACTGTGCGAATGTGTCTTGGTCATGGTGGGAGTGATAAGAACAAGAAAGTTTCTGCTTTCATTTAGACACATTTTATTCATCTCTCTAACTTTCAGAAGGGTTGCTCGGTCTGCAAGATTGATTTCCATATAAAATATAATCAGCACTTTAAAGATAATTTATTGTCAATATGCCATACTAAAATGAAGCTAATGTTACAGTTTCCAGAAAGCTTAGTCTCAGAGATTCTGAAATAGTGTCTGTGCAATTTGATGATGTGATCACAGAAATATACAATTATTTATTTAGGTTTTTGCTATAGGGTGCGTGCACTCGCCAGACAGATGGAGAGAGACATAGAGACAGAAAGCGAGAAATCACCCCCCCAGGGGGGATGGCCATGCCGCAATCCCTTCTCCTCCATTCTCCTCTCGGGATCTTGGGCACGCACACACACACGCCTGGTGTGAGTTTAAGCCACCGGGTCTGGGACTCGAACCGCAGTCGACTACATAGGAGTCCATCGACATAGCCATTACTCTAACTGCTGGTCCCGGAAATATACAATTATTGAAAAAGAGCTACAATTTCCTGAACTATATAGGTTTAGATCACTTAGTTTCACTTCCAGGCTGGTGAGCGATCGAACTGTGAACCTCCATAATTTCAGCTGTCATTTCTTTCATTAGCAAATAATTGGTCTATAGTATCTCCCTAAATTCTTCGCTCCTTAGGCATCAGTTATATGCCCTGCATATTAAGAGATTACCTTGACAAACGTTTTAAAAGTTAGACCTTTTCTTTTGGTTATTGCTCAAATGTTATGCATCAGAATCACCCGAGGAAGCTTCTGAAAGGGTTTGGAAAACACACCCACAATCCAAAGCCCACACATAAAGGATTTTCAGTCAGTAAATCAGGTGATGAAATTCAGTGATCTTGACTCATACCTTGACTTGAGAATCACTGTTTAATGCTCTTTCTTTCTCTGGTGTTTACACTGTTAAGATACAGTAAGTTCATCTTATTGCCATTTCTGTTGGTTCTGCTTTTAGGTCACAGTAAAGCTGTTAGGGACATCTGCTTCAATACTGCAGGAACTCAGTTCCTCAGCGCAGCCTATGACAGGTATCTTAAGCTCTGGGACACTGAGACAGGTAAGAAGCCACTTTATACATATCTGTCCTTCGTGTTAGCATATATTATGGAACAGTAGAATGATCTGAGCTAAAATGGCACCTTCTCTGCTGGTTCTTTTACCACCAGCTCTCCAGCTCCCACCACAAAATAGGCCTGTGGACTTGAAACTCAGCTATAAAAGTTTCTTTCACTGTGAAACTTTGTTTCTACCAAATAACTTATACACCAAAGGTATCAATAGACAAGCAAATTTCAAGTCTTCTACGGTAATGTAGATCACTCAAATTGACCTTTTTGCCCCTCTTTGTCACCGAGCACAGTGCATTTCCCATAGTAGAAGCACAATACAGGTCTGAGGAACACAATCATATTTAATTTCCCACATTGATTAAAATATAGGCCGAAACTCCCATGTGCTAGATGGCTTTATGTATTTGCAACTGTATTAATTCCACCAATATGCTAATTTTATGTAACTAGGAAACTGTCTTTTTTCTTACTGAGTTTTATGAGTAATAGCTAATAGTCATTGAAAACTTACTGTTTGCCTGTCATTGTGCTAAATAATTGGGTTGTCTGGAAAGTCATGACACATTTTTGCATAGGAAAATACATCATGACTGTCCTGACAACCTAATATATTCCATATCTTGTTCAAGCTTAATATATTCCTGTAAGGCAGCTATTGCTATTACTTTACAAATGAGACTGGGACTTAAAGATGTCACTTTTCTAGGGTCAAACCAAGTATCTCTGATGCTAAAGCCTGTGGTCTTCACTTCTTTAGCAGTGGTTCTCAATGTGGCTGCATATTGTCATGTAAAAACCATTAAAATTCCCAATGCTTAGGTCTCACTCACATGTGTACTTAACGTAATGGGTCCAGGCTGTGGACTGGTTGATTCTGTTGTGTAGCCAAGGCTGAGAGACTAACACCCTCTAGGCTCTTAAACATCAGAATATAATATACATAATAGTAAAGTCTATAAAGTGCATATTCAGTGATTTATTTTTGTAAACTTTTTTTTGTAGTTGTTTACCACCAAGAACATGACATAGAACATTTCTAGCTCAGTAAGCATTTCTTCTGCCCTTACCAGTCTATCCCCACTCCCAGTAACCACAGTAGCCACTTCGGTCATTACAGATTCATTTTTCCTCTTTTCAGACTTCTTATATGTAGATTTATACCACATGAGAAGTCTTTGGAGAGTTCACAGGAGACATGTATTATGAAAAAAATGCATGGATTTCAAAATTTTTCGTGCACAAAATATACTTTAATTTCATTTTTCCATAACTTTCAAAGTACCTTTGCATATGCTCCTGTTTCTATCTACTTTCACTCACCATGATGTCTGAGATTGACCTGTGGCTAGTACCAGTAGTTTCTTTGTTTGTACTGCTTGTGATATTCCATTGTATGAATGAGATTATTATTTATCTACTGTACAATTGGTGATGCAGATTTACTTTTGAAAAGATAATTTTTAATCATGAAAAGATTATGTTTAATCATGAAAAATCAGTGAAAAAGAACAACATGGTTTATAGGAGAGAGCCAACAGTTTGCCCTTTCTCAAAATGTATTAAGCAAATGATCTCTAAATCTTAAAACCCACAGTCAGCTTGAAGTGGTCAAATTTATTTCACCTATTTAATTTGAATCTTTGATTTTAGGGCAGTGTATATCAAGATTTACCAACCGAAAAGTACCTTATTGTGTCAAATTCAATCCTGATGAAGATAAGCAAAATCTGTTTGTGGCTGGGATGTCTGATAAAAAGATTGTACAAGTAAGTCCTTAACAGTATTTTTATGAAGATTCCTGGGCTTTATATTGTATCAGGGAATGAAATAAACATTAATTTATGTAATGTTTCTAACTTTCAGGGATTACTGATACTCTCTTCTTAGCAGAAAATGGTAAATTTGTAAAAACATGATAGTGTAGATCTCTCTCTTCACTTTCTAGAATTAGGATTTTTGTCGGCTTTTGTAAATCTGCTCCACTTGTCTCTACCTTGTCTCTTGTTTGTATACAGTGGGACATTCGCAGTGGAGAAATCGTGCAGGAATATGACCGGCATTTGGGAGCCGTCAACACCATCGTTTTTGTGGATGAGAACAGGAGATTTGTGAGCACATCTGATGATAAAAGCCTACGAGTTTGGGAGTGGTGAGTTTCCATCAGTAGAAAATATGGTTTATATATTTTTTTGGAAAGCACCTAAAAATTATATAGCCAAAAACTATGCCTGGTAATATGCAAACCATTTGAATACCTTCTCTGCTGTGGTCCTGGCTTACCAAACTTTTTAACTATTTAAGTACCAAAACCATGAAAATAAAAACATAAACCTGCTACCATTCATAGTTTTGGGTTAGTCTTTTGACTTGTTTGAGAGTATGTACTTTGTTTTTCTCACAATAATCATAGATTTGGATGATGTGACCCTACATTCTTTATTAGGTGTCATATTCATCTTCACAAAATGAAGATCATGGGGCATGAATATATTGATAGATCGTATCAGTTATGGAAGGATTGGGAATTGGATCCTGCCCTCGAAACCAACCCAGAGAAACACTGGTGTAGCTCTCTTTTCAAATGTCTGCTTTTTGATAATTCAGTATTAAAATTTGTCCCATATCATCACTCTCACACAAATGTTTAACTTGTAGAATATAATCAGAATGTGTTTGTCAATTTTGCTTTCCTAGAGAAAAAAACACTTTTCTAAAGTCAAGAAATACTGAAGTCAGTTTTATTAAGTATCATTGATCAAGCTGAATAATTTAGTTGCAAATGATGCAACTAAATTATAATGTTTTTTAATGAATATTTGAATGGAAGCCAGCTTATTTTTATAGTCAGTTTTGAAGCAGAGCTGAACCGTGATTACAGCCTTGGAAGGATGAGAAAGTACATCTTCCCACCCCCAGAAGTTGTTCTGCTTTAAGAAGTAGGAAGCTTTGAACCACAGCCAATGGTTTCCTCCTCAAACTGAGTCCCTTTGGAAGCTGAGTAGGTCCCTACCTATTGTCAGTATAATTTGGGTAGTTGAAGATTTACTGTAATTGAGGTGCACTTTCTCCCCTACTCACCATCAGCACCACCCCTACACCCTTCCAAATTACCCTGATTAATGGAGAATGGACTATATATCGTCTTAACATATAGCATCTCCTTAAGGTCTGTGGTTTACGGCTGCATCATGAGTAGATCTTTCTTGCTTCAGAAATGATGTTTCTTGCAGGTAATCTGATACAGACACCAAGTTTTATTTGTGCCAGTTTAGGTCATTTGAATAAACATGCATCTGTATATTTTGTTCTATATATTTTAATGATTTGATTATACTTAAACTTTCAGATGTTTCTACCTTCAGATATTTCAGCTTCATTTTCTTTTTGAGAGTTTTTTTTTTGTTTTTTGCTGCAGGGCGTGTGCACTCGCCAGAAAGACAGAGACAGAGAGACAGAAAGCGAGAAATCACCCCCCAGTGGGGATGGCCACACCTCAATCCCTTCTCCTCCATTCTCCTCTCGGGATCTTGGGCACGCATGCATGAGTTTAAGCACCCGAGTCCGGGACTCAAACCATGGTTGACTACATGGGAGTTCAGTGACATAGCCATTATGCTAACTGCTGGTCCCAATTTTTAAAGGTAGCATAGTATAAAAGAAATTAGTAGATATTTAAATTATATTATACGGTGTAAGAACACTGTGTGCTTTCTGAAACAGAACATGAGTCAAAGTACTTTTATAAAATAAGGGGTAATGCTAGCACGTTTCTTCTTTTTTCCTCTCAGGTCTCAAATACTAATAAAAAGCCATGATACTGTTTTCTTATAAATGATGACATCTTTAGTTTTCAACTTAACCCTTTTTTATTATCAGAGCCATCCTAACCAATCTCCAGCTGCGATTAGGTGTCTCTTTTCTATCATCCCACACTACTCTTTGCCTTCTACAGCCTTTGAACATAGTTTAGGTCCTTCCTCGTGTGTTATTCTTCTCTAATAGGTTCTTAATGATGAGAAAAGAATCGTGTCAGTCGTGCTAGTTGCTTCTGTCCTGAGTACTACACAGTGCATGGCACATAGCATATACTGAATATCCGAAGTCATTATTACTGTAACTAGTAATGACGTTACATTTAGTGAGTCTTTTCTATATGCCAGTTCCTGTACCAAGCACTTTACTACAACTATTTGATTTGCCATGTAAAAGGATCTTATGAGATAGTTATGTTTGTTATCCCCATATTATAAAGAAAGAAACTAACGAAGGTTAAGTAATCTGCCCAGTTATATATAGGACCTGGAAGGGTCAGCCCTTAAACTTTGTCAAACTAATCTCAAAGATTACATTCTTGATATTTGGATGGATAGATAAGTGAATGAAGAGAATGATGGGGAGAGAAAGTAACTTGGATCCAGTGTGATCAGTGAGAAAAGAAGTGTCAGGATCAGTCTTCAGCCTGTATGCTATCTTTTATCTAAAGGATAAAAACAAAGTGGTGCTTGTACACAATGGAATACTACTCAGCCATGAAGCACAGTGAATTCCTGTCATTTGAGACAAAGTGGGTGAACTAGAAGATAAATGCTAAGTGAAATACACCAGGCTATGAAGACCTATACTGTATTTCTCTGCTTAACAAATACTGAGGTCCCCCACCGTTAGTGAAAGCTAAAGGACTCAGTAACCTAGAGGTAGAGGTTAATAATAGTACTATTAATAGGAACTGCCTGGGGTGCAAGGTGCAATTCAGGAGAAATTGGTTAACAAGCCACAAGAGTGCATAGAAACAAGTGTATGGAACAGTGTATCATAGTGATTAAAACACATCACTGACAATTCATTATATACTCCAAAAAAATCCAATAGAACAAATCTCAAATGTGCACAACGTAATGTAATGTTAAATGTTGAAGATGGTAATGTGTTTATATCCTCAATTTGTTTATTACATATTGTATAAATGTTTTAAAATGAACCATACCATGCCCCATAGATATGTACAATGATTACATATAAATCAGAAATTATATTTTTTAAAATGTAGTGTAGTAAATACAAAAAAAAGAGAAAAATGTTAGGATCAGTTCTTGTTACAGACAAGTGGGAAGCAAAACCAGCTTCGATCCCCAGGACTCTGCTTCACTGCATTTAATCTTGAGAGCACTTATTAGTGATATTGGTAGCATGCAGAGAAGGGGGGCCCTGGCACCCAAGGGCGAGCTAAACCACAACTCTCTGAACATTGTCTGTACCAGGGCCTTCAGACAAATGGTATTGGCCAAACTTTTAAATCCAGTGCCTGGTAAGACTGCTGTAATGGTACAATCCAAAGGAAACATGGCTTTCTTTTATTTTCTCTTTAAAGAATTATTTACTTATTTACTTTTAAATTTGCTTTAAGGGTACATACACTCACCACAGAAAGAAAGAGAGAAGGAGAGAAAGAAAGTGAGAAAGCAAGCTGCCAGGTTCATTACTCGAACCATGGTTAGCCATGTGGATGTCCAGCACCTTAACCACCAGGCCACCTGCTGGCCCCAAAATTTGTCTTTCTTAATACTATACGTTGGGGCCAGCAGGTGGCATGGTGGTTAAGGTATCTTACTCCCACATGGCAGACTGCGATTTGAGTCCTAGACCTAGTGGCTTGAAACTCACACCAGACACATGTGAGTGCCCAAAATCCCAGGAGGAGAATAGAAAAGAGATTGCGGCATGGCCATCCCCCAGGAGGGTGATATCTCACTTACCCTCTGTCTCTCTCTAGGGAGCACACACACCCTATGGCAAAAGCCTTTGGAAAAAATAAAAAAACTGTACACTAAGACTATTAAATAGTCTAAAGGAGAACAAGAGTCTCCAGCTGCGATTAGGTGTCTCTTTTCTATCATCCCACACTACTCTTTGCCTTCTACAGCCTTTGAACATAGTTTAGGTCCTTCCTCGTGTGTTATTCTTCTCTAATAGGTTCTTAATGATGAGAAAAGAATCGTGTCAGTCGTGCTAGTTGCTTCTGTCCTGAGTACTACACAGTGCATGGCACATAGCATATACTGAATATCCGAAGTCATTATTACTGTAACTAGTAATGACGTTACATTTAGTGAGTCTTTTCTATATGCCAGTTCCTGTACCAAGCACTTTACTACAACTATTTGATTTGCCATGTAAAAGGATCTTATGAGATAGTTATGTTTGTTATCCCCATATTATAAAGAAAGAAACTAACGAAGGTTAAGTAATCTGCCCAGTTATATATAGGACCTGGAAGGGTCAGCCCTTAAACTTTGTCAAACTAATCTCAAAGATTACATTCTTGATATTTGGATGGATAGATAAGTGAATGAAGAGAATGATGGGGAGAGAAAGTAACTTGGATCCAGTGTGATCAGTGAGAAAAGAAGTGTCAGGATCAGTCTTCAGCCTGTATGCTATCTTTTATCTAAAGGATAAAAACAAAGTGGTGCTTGTACACAATGGAATACTACTCAGCCATGAAGCACAGTGAATTCCTGTCATTTGAGACAAAGTGGGTGAACTAGAAGATAAATGCTAAGTGAAATACACCAGGCTATGAAGACCTATACTGTATTTCTCTGCTTAACAAATACTGAGGTCCCCCACCGTTAGTGAAAGCTAAAGGACTCAGTAACCTAGAGGTAGAGGTTAATAATAGTACTATTAATAGGAACTGCCTGGGGTGCAAGGTGCAATTCAGGAGAAATTGGTTAACAAGCCACAAGAGTGCATAGAAACAAGTGTATGGAACAGTGTATCATAGTGATTAAAACACATCACTGACAATTCATTATATACTCCAAAAAAATCCAATAGAACAAATCTCAAATGTGCACAACGTAATGTAATGTTAAATGTTGAAGATGGTAATGTGTTTATATCCTCAATTTGTTTATTACATATTGTATAAATGTTTTAAAATGAACCATACCATGCCCCATAGATATGTACAATGATTACATATAAATCAGAAATTATATTTTTTAAAATGTAGTGTAGTAAATACAAAAAAAAGAGAAAAATGTTAGGATCAGTTCTTGTTACAGACAAGTGGGAAGCAAAACCAGCTTCGATCCCCAGGACTCTGCTTCACTGCATTTAATCTTGAGAGCACTTATTAGTGATATTGGTAGCATGCAGAGAAGGGGGGCCCTGGCACCCAAGGGCGAGCTAAACCACAACTCTCTGAACATTGTCTGTACCAGGGCCTTCAGACAAATGGTATTGGCCAAACTTTTAAATCCAGTGCCTGGTAAGACTGCTGTAATGGTACAATCCAAAGGAAACATGGCTTTCTTTTATTTTCTCTTTAAAGAATTATTTACTTATTTACTTTTAAATTTGCTTTAAGGGTACATACACTCACCACAGAAAGAAAGAGAGAAGGAGAGAAAGAAAGTGAGAAAGCAAGCTGCCAGGTTCATTACTCGAACCATGGTTAGCCATGTGGATGTCCAGCACCTTAACCACCAGGCCACCTGCTGGCCCCAAAATTTGTCTTTCTTAATACTATACGTTGGGGCCAGCAGGTGGCATGGTGGTTAAGGTATCTTACTCCCACATGGCAGACTGCGATTTGAGTCCTAGACCTAGTGGCTTGAAACTCACACCAGACACATGTGAGTGCCCAAAATCCCAGGAGGAGAATAGAAAAGAGATTGCGGCATGGCCATCCCCCAGGAGGGTGATATCTCACTTACCCTCTGTCTCTCTCTAGGGAGCACACACACCCTATGGCAAAAGCCTTTGGAAAAAATAAAAAAACTGTACACTAAGACTATTAAATAGTCTAAAGGAGAACAAGAGATTATATTAGATATTCAGCAACCTGGCATTTTAATCAGCTAAATACATGAAATATCAGAGACCTTTTTTTTTTATCAGACATACTTATTTTGGTAAAATATTTTTAAAAGAAAACTTGACACTTATCTATCTCTTCTTAAAAATTTCATAAACTTGTTAGCTTTCTTATTTTTATGAATTCATTTCCAAACTAAAGATTATTTGCAAGGTAACTACAAACTTACTAGATTGAATTACAGTATCTAATTAGAAAATAGTCTTGTTTATTAAATAAAATTACTCCTAGCAGACATTTTTATTAAAAATAATGAAGCCCACAAACTTATTAAGATCTTTTTCTTGTTCTAGAACTCATTGTACCAAGACTTCTTAAAATTAGGGATCTTTTTGAGATTTTCGTTTGCTTTTAGTAAAACACTGATTAATATGAACCTGGACTATGATAAATTTGATTTAGAAGATGATTTTGTGTTTAACGTTATAAAATTATTAGCCACTAATAATGAATATGAGGAGGGTAAAAACATGAAATAAATATTTGGGTTTTTTGCTAGAAAATACATCATGACTTTCCCAACTACCCAGTAGTTGATCTGACAAATGGTGATATTCCCAAGGTGATACCGGAAACATTCTTCTTCTCACCAACACCCCAGTAGAAGTTTTTTCCTAATCATTCACTCCTTCTTTTGGATAGATAGAGAAAATCCTTATATAAAAGCAAATTAGTATTATTTTCCAATTAAAGTATTGGAACTGTAACCATAGTTTGAAGTTGAAATTAATGCTTCATATTCTGTGTTAATTGTCAGATTACATCTGCCACATATTACTGTATGAAAAACATCTCTGGTCTTGTGAAGAGCAGCAAGAACAAAAATCTTTTCAGAATAACTGAGGAATTTTTATCAGAGAAAATATTAAAAATGAAAAGATACTCAGAACTTCTGATGGTCTTAAGTTTAAGTGACTCACTTTGGGTTTTTGTTATTTTTATTTTATTCTTTATATCACATGAGATTTTGGGTTTTTGATGCTTTTTCTCCTGCCCCTTACACATTTGAAATGCTTTACTGTAAACTGAAAGTAGTTCAGGTACCAAGCACTTAATTCTCTGGCCTTGATCATTATCTGGATGGGCTACAGTGACTCATAGATCCCTACAGCTTTGCCTGCATCTGCTTTGCTGAAGGCTTTTTAGCACTCTTACCTGCCCTCAGAGTAAGAAGGAGTTAGGGTCGACTGGCAGGAAATAAAACACCTCCTTATAGGCTTTGTTTCTAACATCCTTGCTTTTGCTTACATGGTAAGTTTTTAGATGAGTTCATTATTAAAGAACTTTGAGTATCAGATAAAGGCCAGAGTTAAGTCAAACATGGAACGTCATTGATGAAGTAAAAGATTTATAATAAACAATATGGTGACATTTTGTGAAATTCTTTCCTCTAGGAAGTTTCACAAAGGGGTTATTAAATATATATTTTATCAGGAGTTTGATTTTATTTTGATAGTATTCCTTTGTTTCAGAGATATTTCATCTAAAGGTGCTGTTTTAAAATGACTTATTCTGAGATGGTGTTTTAAATCTTTAGGGATATTCCCGTGGATTTCAAATACATAGCGGAGCCCAGCATGCACTCAATGCCTGCAGTGACTTTGTCTCCAAATGGTGAGTTAGTACTTACAGCATGTTTTTAAATGCGCTTCTAAGACACAGCGTGATTTTCATATTCAAAAGAACCTTGGTCATTCCCTTCTTGTACAAGGAAATGTTTTCAATGTTAGAAATAACTACTGATTTTCATATGTGAGTCACCTCACCCACTCTCTTGTTTCCTTAAAAAATAAAAATAAAAGAAACATATTTACAGCTTACATTGAGTGGGCATTTAAGGATTTCTGACAGTTTTTGTTGTTTTTCTTTTTTAATAATTCTCCTTCCAGCAGAATCGAGTGAGGGTTTTTTGTTTTTGTTTGTGTTTTTATTTTTGTTTTGTTAGAGGATGGGAAATTTTGATCTGATTCTCCATAATGAGAACACATTAGCAATTCACTATAAAAGATTTTCTTAGGCAAAAATAAAACTTTAATACCATTTTCTATTCTATAATCCATTGCCTGATAAGGACAAGATAATTTGTGCTACAGATATACTGACAATAGCTGATATAATTATAGTTCTACATGAGGATATTAAACCAGAGGATCTGATGTTTGGGAGCCACCATCATCAAAGCCACTGGTAACTCGCGTAGCTGCTGTAAATGTAGAGCAAGAAAAAGGAAGCAGGGAAGATTTGCTCTTCCATCCGGGCATCTGCCACATCTGCAGATCACCGATAGTTGTCAAGTGCCATATTGTTTTTATGAGAAGAGAGACCTAACCGGATCCTACTTTGCTATATTGTATACTTTGTCATGTGCATCTGCATTTCGTGTTGTGTATTTCCAAACACTGTCTACTACTGAATACAGCTCCCATCTTGAAAAAGGCCACTCACCTACTCAAGCTTTGTTAGCATCTTTTCCTTAGTAGTTTTTACAAGTATAGATGTGCAGGTAGATACTGAGATTATACTCCAGGGTCTCTGATAAATCCTAAGTAGATAGATAAAAGCAGTATGGCCTTTAAAAAAGTTTCTATAATTTTTCAGATCATATCTTTTTTGCTATAGTATCAGTAATCCCAGTTTTCCTCACCAGAGTTTGTCTTTCCTTATTCTACCATTTTCAGAAATAGGTTTCTTTCTTCCCATAGTTCTGTTGTCTGTACTTACTAAAATTAAGTATTTTATAAATTTTAGACTAACTCTAAACTTGGAATGTCTGTATTTCCTTATTAGAGAAAAAGCTATAAATGATGAATGCTCAATGATATATGATCGTATGAGCAAATTTATTACTTTATATATACATATCTCTTGCTAGTAATTTTTTTTTAACATTTTACTAGTGGTATGATAACTTTATTTTTTAGTGTCATAAAATTTTGAGGAGCAAAAGTATATTAATGACAGTGAACATTTTTATAATAAAAATGTTTTCTTAAAATTATTTTCTAAAATGTCTCATTTATCAAATTTACAGGGAAATGGCTAGCATGCCAATCAATGGACAACCAAATCCTAATTTTTGGAGCACAGAACAGATTTAGATTAAATAAGAAAAAAATTTTTAAGGGCCATATGGTAGCAGGCTATGCTTGTCAGGTTGACTTTTCACCAGACATGAGGTAAGTTTAAATCTAATTTACTCTCATTTTTAAAAGAGATATTATAAACTATTATTGTACAAGTAATACTTCACAAATAGCATCCAAATATGTAATTGTTTGAGAACCGTGTGATCTGTCAAAATGCTGGCTCTAAAGACATTTGGATGTACAAGTTATGAAAACTACATTTGCCTTACTTTCTTACTTTAGTATTTCTCTTTATATTACTTAGGCCTATGCACTTTAGCCACCAACTAAATCCCTGTCTGTATCACCAATGCCTTATTTCCTGCCTGCTTTCCTAAGCATGTCTAAGAGTCGTACAGTCACTATATTGCTACGATTAATTGAACACCAGGAGAATTAATTCTGCATTGTAGCGTTGAAGTTAACAACCTCACTACAATTTGTCTATGCTGCAATCTTAAATTCAGATTTTGACTATTTGTAGTTTACATCGGATTTGTGAATTCTACAGTGTTGCTAAAAGTGAAATGCCGCTTTCATTCTCTCATTCTTAGTTAAAATATATAGGTTGAAGAAATTCAGAAATACTGTAATCTTGTATATTTAGCCTGGTAATTGAGCCATATGTCTAAAAGATATTGAAGCCAAAATAATTATTAAGGTGGTAGACTACTGCAGTAGAATGGGTCTACCTGTGTTCATTGGCTACATGTGAAACGGGTTCTCCTACACTGTTTTTGACAGTCTAGAGACTGATGGAGATACCTCTTTCATTAATGAACCCTGGGACTCACAGGCTCCTCAGTTAAAAATTCTTTTCTACTTTTAGATTGGTAGCTCAACGGGGAGGGTGTTTTGTAGAAGTTCATATTATAGACTGCTTCATGCTTCACCTTGTTTTCTGAGTATTGTATATTTGCACTGTCTTTTTTATCTTTATGTCAAGGTAAAAAAAATAAAATTTATCTTTTTTATCCACTTTACCAGTTTAGGATGTTTGAATAATTTGCATTTATTTTTATTCCTATTGCAGTTATGTAATTTCAGGAGATGGAAATGGAAAACTAAACATCTGGGACTGGAAAACCACCAAACTCTACAGTCGATTTAAAGCTCATGATAAAGTGTGTATAGGTGCAGTATGGCATCCTCATGAAACATCTAAGGTCATAACGTGTGGTTGGGATGGTCTAATTAAATTGTGGGATTAATGGGCTTGATCCTTAAACTGTTAGGATCATTTTTGATCCAGTGTTGTACTTAACTATATTTAATTATTAAATGTGTTGGATGACAATTTGATTTACAGATAATGTTTTTCTTACATGGCCTTATGACTCATTGTTTTAAAAAAAAACTTTGTAAATTTGACTTGCATAATTTCATTGGCAACTTCATTTGGTTCTTCATGGATGTTATTTATACAGAAAATGATGTTGACTTTCTATTTGACAAGTAGTTATTGTTGACAGACAGTTTGGGTTTATCCCTGTGACATTCTGAAAAGATCCCTTTGGGGTCAAGAAAGAATCCCTAGTGGATTTGGGCTCTTAGAGAGTTAATATATTTAATGACTCAGAAGGGTACCTCTTCAACAAAATGACAGTAAAGAACAGGGGTGATGTAATTTAATAAAAATCTAAAAGAAGGATGAGACCACTTACAGTTACTGTTGCCCTTATTTCCAATGGGTTGGGTTCTAAACTTTTGGCTTGTTGAGTTCCACAATTTTTTATAACACACTGTATGTTTTTAGTTGCATATCAGTAATCTTTGACTGCAACATCCTCTGATTATTAAACAGTGTAAAGTAAAAATCAGTCCAGAGTTTTTCCTTGACTTTCTTTCTGATCAGTATAGGCAGGACTATATGTACTTAATTACATTATTTCTGAAGCTGGAACTCAAGAGATTGAGCCAAGACTTTGATTGTATTCACTGTCAGTAAGAACCTGGACACACTTTCAGAAATTAGGATCTTGTAGGTCATTGCTTCCCAGATGTTACTACTGAAATCCTCCTTATAGGAGGTAGTGTGTGAGGGCATAGTACAAAATGTCAACTCATATTTCTTTGAGCTCTTATGCTTTATCTTTAAAGTTTTCTGATTTTGCTTGTGAATATATACAACAGAACTTCCTCAAATTAGAAAAATTAAACTTTTTCCCCCAAGTCTTTGAATAAAATTGGCACTCCAACAGGATGGTCAGGGTTCCCCAGTTGGAGAAGCAGTGCCCATGGTAAAAGAAGAACAGTAGTTTTAAACATCAGATTATGAAATCAAGATAGCCTCTTGAATAGTAGCTATAGCCCTTTAGATTGGCAAGCCATTTCCCCTGTCTTATTGCAAGTCTGTATTAGATGTTCATTGTGTGTGAAATGTTTCGGTACCATGTTGAAAAGAGCTCCTCGGAGTGCTTGACTTGGAAATCAAAATCATGTTGAGGGCAGGTAACTTCAGAGCTTTAAGCTCTGGTCCTGTGCATCACAAGTGCATATTCCTTGCCATTTGAGGGCTTCTGATTTAAAAAATGTTAAAAGGTCTGGTATGTATGACCAGACTCTATAGCCACATGTAAGTACATTTCAAAGAAGAAAACAGAAAAGGACAATAAAAGTAAAGGAGATGTATTTGACACACAGGCAGACACACTGCCTAGCTGCTGCCATTTCTGTATCTGCCAGCCATGGTGGCAGATTTCTGAAGAGGAAAGGATTCAGACGAAATCTTTTCTTTGGTCCCAACCACTCTTTAACACATGTGAAGGACTGGAAAGTTATGGGACAAAAGGAACCGCACATTTGAACTCTCTTGTGCGACAGCAATACTGAACATGTTACAAATCATAATTTCTAAATCTGAATTTATTTTACTGTGTTTTTGACTGTTTCTAAACTAAGTAATTGTATATAAAATTTGTCTTTTTTAAAAAGATCGTATTTTTAAATAAACCAGTTTTTGTAGAATGTGTCATTGAAATGTGTATCTTTAGTCTCCTTTAAGTCATAAGTCTGCTTAGACAGTACATTAAACCATTCGCAGATTTAAATGAATCAAATGGAGAGAAGTGATACTTTGTAGGTGGGTGCGGGGTGTTTAGGTACGCTAAATAGACTGTTCCAATTAAATACTATAATACAGGGCAACACCCTGAGAGCACACAGCATAAACTTAACACATTCCATATTTATTTGTTTAGTGGTGGTGCTAACTCATGATTACACCCCATTTTAGAGGACACAAACAAGTGAGGTTCTTTTGCAGCTTAACATCACAAGATCATATTCTTGTAGGACTTAAATGATTACCAGCTAGCACCTTTTCCTCACTATAACCTTTTTGTCATACCCAAGACAGATTTTCATTCTGAAAATTACAGAAAAAGTGAAATATTTAAATATTAAAACATAAACTGCAATTATTTTGTCCTAAATAAGGAGCTAATTTTAAGATATAAAACAGACATGTTGGGGACCAGCAGGTGGCATGGTGGTTAAGGTGCTGGACTCCCACATGGCTGACCATGGTTCAAATTACAGACCTAGCATCTTTCTTTCTCTTTCTCTCTCTCTCTCCCCTTTTTCTTTCCCTCCCTCCCTATTGTGAGCACACATACCCTATAGAACATTTTAAAATAATAATAAATAAAATTAAAATAATTATCTCATAGATAAAATGGGCATGTTTCTAAGTAGAGACGCATAGAGTGGTTCTTGAGAACATAATGGGGCTGGCTGGCATCCCTAGGAATATTTAGAAATTACCTAGAAGAAAAACACTGACACTGAAATAGCAAACCTTAGATGGCAGCTATAAAGACCACAGCACTAGCAGCTATTATAGAGGCTGTACTATTTCCTTGTAGAAGTGTCTCTCAGAGCATGAACTAAAACCCATCTACCTTGGAATCAGTTGGGGATTGGGTCATTTACAAAGACGTTGCCTTCAAAAGAAAGTAGAGGTTATTTGGGGGAACCCCAATGAATTCAGATATGGAGAAGAGAGTATGAAGTGGCATCAAGGTCACAGTATCTATCAGCAGTGTTAAATGTGGGCCTCAGAGTGAGACCTGGGAACTACAGTGTCATATGTCATCAGAGATGCAATTTTTTTACATTTTGACATCTCTGAATAGGGCTATGGTTAAAATCAATGAAGTTTCATAGTTTAATTGGCAGCATTCATTCTTAGTGGATCATAGAATAATTGATGAACTATTACATAAAGAAGGCAAGTACTAAGAGGCCTGAGAAGGAGAAAAGACGGTCCAATGGAAGGAAAGTGTCTGACAGCACAAGACCCAAAATTAATATTATAGAATGCTTATTTGGCAATAGGTAAATAAAAATAAACTGAATGAACCAAGAGAAGATTACAATTAAATACACACACACACAAACACACACCCCTATACGTAATAATTGCTGGGAAATTTTTTTGTTAATACAGCAGTGTTGGCTTAGCTATTGTGGCACAGTAGCAGCTCACTGCTCTGCAATGCTGGAGCCATATGAAAGATCAGGGTTCAGTTCCCAGGTTGACCTGTATATGGCAGGTATGCAAGCCTGTGACCCTGGATGACTAGAAAGCCTGGAGGGAGGATTAGGATGTGAAAGCCTCTTAAGGGTGCTTATCTTTGACTTTCTGTCTCATGAAATAAACTTCTTTAAAATGCAGCACTTTTAGCAAGTATCCCCAAATGATCTTTTAGCAAGAGCTCAATTAGGATAAGAACCTCTTAGGTAAAGTCCCCAGTTTATCTTGGGCATTTAGGAAACTAGGCTATTTAGAACATGTGAAGTCAAAGAAATTTAGCTAGTCAAAAATACATATCATATGTGTGTATATGCATGTTTGTATATACATATGTAGACATAAAACATACATAATCACTTTTTATATTCATAGTCACTTTACCACTACAGTTTTATTTGAAACTTAGGGAAAAACATTCACAGACTTAGAACCAGAGCCCTTAGAATGGCTTCATATTTAGTGATAGTGGAAGAGATGATTCCTTTGATTCTGAAGCTTCCTGTAACTACAATAGCTGTCTTCAAATGAATTTTTAATTCCCACTTCCCTCTCTAACCTCTAGCATTTGAGACTTAGACTTAACTCAGATTGCACACATTTTTTAATTACATTCTAGTACAGTGCTGTCCAATAGAAATACGTGAGCTGAATGTGTAAATGTTCTAATTACCAGGTTTTAAAAAACTAGAGAATATAAAAATATTTTACTTAACATGATATATTTAGCCTCCCTTTGGACTTTTTTTTTTTTTAAGGGAGATTTTTGGTATAGATTTTGGTGTAGATTTTTGATATAGGGCACGTGTGCTTGCCAGAGAGACAGAAAGATAGAAATCACCCTCCGGGGGGTTGGACATGCCGCCATCCCTTCTCCTCCATTATCTTCTCAGGATTTGGGGCATGTATGCAAGCACATACTCACACGTGAGTTTCAAGCTGCTGGGTCTGGGACCCAAACTGTGGTTGACTACAGGGAGTCCACCAAAGTAACTATTACACCATCTGCTGAGCCCCCTGAAGATTTTTCTTTATTTAATATTCAAACATGTGCATGCACACGCACATATAGATGTGGAGAGATCTGTAGATATATATATATATTATATATATATATAGTTATTGCACTATTGGGACAGTTTCAAGACAGAAGTATAAACTAGTGTAGTCTGGGAACCTACATTGTGAATTTTAGAATAGGTGAGTTTGCATGTGTGACTCAAAAGATAATTTTCTTAAGGGTTCTTCACTCAATGACTAAAAACTATCATAATGGGTTTGCCTTTTCTCTGGGCTCGCTCTTCTGCCTATGCACATCATTTGGAGTCTTCTTAATCTATCCTAAAACTTACCTTTATGTCAGTCCATTTGGGCTATTATAAAAACATAACTTAGACTGGGTGATTTATGAACAACAGAAGTTTATCCCTCAGAGTTCGGAAGGCTGGTAAGTTCAAGATCAAGATGCCTGGAAATTAGTGTCTGGTGAGGACTTGCTCTCTATTCCGGCCGGGTCTTCACTTAGTAGAAAGGGGAAACAAGCTTCCTCAGGTCTCTTCCATAATGGCAGTAATCCATCCCAAGTGCTCCACCCTATGACCTAAGGACTCTAAAGCTCTCAAATGCCCCATCTTTTAATACCAATATTGAGAATTAGATTTCAATGTATGAATTTTGAAGGGCTGCAAACAACACACAAATTGAGAAATTATTCTGTTTTGCCTAAGCTTTGCCTAATCACAAAAGTCAAAATAGTGAGTTATTCAAGCTAGAAAAAACTTTAGAAATTAAACATCCTAAAATAAGATAAGAAAACAGGCCAAAAAGGTGATGTCTTACTTGGTACAGTTAGCTAGCAGTATCAAGATCTCCTTCTCATTTTGCTCCCTTTACATAAAACCTCCTAATTGTGTGTTATTGTCATATTTGTGTCATAATCTTTGTGTCTTCTAGTTAATCTCTGAGGTAGTGGAAAAGAAACAGCCATTTAGAAACAACTATCAGTTTAGTGTTAATTTTATCCTTTAGTGAAACAGAATCTCAACTGAAGACACAGTTATGGCCCCTCCAATTTTATTAATGGGGTCCCATCACTTTCTCTGGACTCACAGGGTAATTTCCTTGGCTCATACCTCAGTCTTGAGAATACAATAACTTTTCTCACCTTGATTTTATTCTTAAACTACTGTCTTTATTATCCTTTCTTTTTAAAAGAATTATTTAACATTTATTTGACCAGAAAGGGACAGAGTGAGAGAGAGAAAGTAGAGAAAGTGAGAAAGCAAGTCACCAGGTTCGGGACTTGAACCATGGTATGCCATATGAGAGTCCAGCGCCTTTAACCACGCCCCCTGCCAGCCCCTTTTTCTATTAAAACAATGAGAGCTTAAATCATGTATATTCAAAACAGCCTCACATATCTTCCTTCTCTCATAAACAAAAGAAATACTCATGCTATTTGTGGTTTTATATACTGACTCTAATAAAAGTCAATTTGGAAATTGGTACAAAGAAAGGACAATGAAGGGACCAACATTTGGCATAATGGCTATGTCTCTGGACTCCCATGTAGTCAACTGCGGTTCAAGTCCAGGACACGGTGGCTTAAACTCATGCCGGGCGTGTGTGTGTGTGTGTGCCCAAGATCCCGAGAGGAGAATGGAGGAGAAGGGATTGCGGTGTGGCCATCCCCCCTGGAGGGTGATTTCTTGTTAGTATTCCTAGGACTTAATTATCTTCCAGTAATAATTGAAACTTCAACTATTACTGGAACCAGTTCAGTTATGTAGCTCCCAGTTCTCCAAGGTTGATCAAGATCTCCTGGTTAGCATCCTTTATCCACATGCAGTGCAATAAAGTAAGAAAATAAATAAATACATGAAAGTCAAGCAAGGACAAATCGTGTCCAAATTTTAATTAACGAAATGAAAGACAGTTGGTCTAAATTCCAAAGGTATATTTAATGCCAGGAAAAAAAAAAAAAACCTCAATAACAAATGATGAAATAATTTTATAGAAACATTTTATACTTTTTGAAATTGCTTTCAAAAAATATTTATTGAGCACCTTTTACTTAACAGTCTCCATGGTAGGTACCAGAACTCCTTAACCTCATGGAGCATATGGCCTACTGTGTAAAACAGATATTATAAAAGCAGAAACATTACGGTTTAGAGAGTGTGAAGAACAGGAAAATAAAGGGCATGTGAGGACACAGAACTAAGGCCTTAAATGGTGGGGGGGAGGGGCAGTCCCTGAAAAAATGATATTTGATCTGACGTCAATCCTTGAGAAGTTACAGTAATACAGATAATTAACAGTTTTTTTATTGATGAATAATTGTAATTTCTCATTAATATTCTAGAACCCACCTGGACCTTTGTTTATTGTATACACCCACCTAGAGGTGATATTAATATCTAATGACAAGTGAGGCAGAAGACAGACCAATTAGAAGTTCGCCACCCTGCCAAGTTGGGGCTGGAGGCTGCCTGCTGTGCAGTGCATTAGCTGTCCTGAGAGGGGCTCCATTGGATGCAGAACTCAAGACCACAGCCATTTATTTACCAACCACTGCAGTTCTACTGACCCTTTTTTTAAAAGTATAAATATGTTCAAAGTATTTCATGAAACATACTCTTAAAATGAACAAAAGTTGAATATTTTTATGATATACAACATGGTACGTGTGTGTGTGTGTGTATGTGAGTGTGTATTATATAGATAGATATATTTTTTAAGTTTTTGCCATAGGGCATGTGTACTTGCTGGAGAGAAACAGAGGGGAAGTGAGAAATCACCCCCGCTGGAGGGATGGTCATGCTGCAATCCCTTTTCCATTCTCCTCTCAGGATTTTGGGCATTCATACACACTGCCCAACCTGATTGCCAGGCCATAGGGTCCAGGACTCAAACAATGGTCGACCATATGGGAGTCTAGCACCTTAACCACCACACCACCTGCTGGCCCCCAATACATTGGTTTTTTAGCCATATCACCATGTACAATATCCCCTGCTGGTACATACTGGATATCAATCCTTGACTGCTCTATTTCAATAGAGAAGTCTAGATTAGGCCTGAAACATGACCCTCCAAAATAGTCCCTTATTATTTCATATAGTCTTCTTGTACAATGGAGTCACTGGAAAAAGTTAAAATATTTTATATGGGAAGACTATAAAGCTGGAACGTTTGATAGTTTCAGAAAGCATCAGTTTTAATGTGTTGAGGACTAGCACGTTTCTATGTAGTGTAAACAAAGTGACATTAAACGTACTTGATTTATTTTTCTTAAAGAGAGAAATCTAAGAAAATTATTCAACAGATTTTAATAATCCCTACATTTTGGCAGTTTTAAGAATATATGGAATCTTTGGGTTATGATTTCATCAAAGTAAAGTTAAAATATTTCTTTGGATATAAGAAAAAGGAAAACATTTTAGCATAAGGTTAAATGTATTACTGAATTCACCAAGTATCAAAAATTTTGATAGTATGAAAAGAATTCTGTTCTTGCTTAGAAATCAAGTACACATTTATCTCCAGCAGAAAAGAATAATTACATTAATTGAGATTGGAGATACTGTTGTATTGTCAAATAGAATAATCTGTTTAAATTAGACTTTAGTTTTTAAACCAGAGAAAAATGTTGAGCCTGGCTTTGCTGATATTAATCCAAGTTTTGCAAAATCCAAACATCTAATACAAATTTTGTACTATATTTGCTAAAATATTTCATAACCAAGGGAGAAATGCTCATTTGAGTAACTGATTTGGACTAACACTAAACTCAATTCATGAGTTTACTTTTTTTCCACTCTGATGTAAATATTAATAGACTTTTGGTCAATTCTCATAGAAGTTTATTCACTGTTCCCTGGCTCTCTTCATTTGAACATACTAAAAAGTTTGTAATATTTATATAATAACCTATTATAACTGTATCAAATACAATCACCAGTAAGAAAAAAGGAAGGGGGAAATATTTTTCTTCTACTTTAACCTCAACTTGTAACACTGTGTCCTGAAAGGCAACCTTTTAAAAAAAAAAAAAAAAAAAAGAATTGTTTTATTTAACTTTATTTATTTATTTTCATTTGACCAGAGAGGGAGAAAGGGAGAGAGAGGGAGAAAGTGAGAAAACAAGCTGGCAGCTCCAGAACTCTAACCACAGTTGGTCATGTGGGAGTCCAGCACCCTCAACCACCATGCCACCTGCTGGCCCAAGAGGCACCTTCTTAATCTCTATCCTCATATGTCTTCTACCTAAAAAAGAGGTCTTTTTTTTTTATCATTTGATAAGAGCATAATTAAATTTGGATTTTCAGAATCATTTATGAACACTACTCTCTCCGGTAAGGGATAATTAAAGCGATGTATGTCACAGATATTCATGTCTTAGCTCATCTATCTGCAAGTCAAATAGTTTTAAGCAAAGGCAAATCACACTGTAGTTCCAAGAGAGGGCCCCTTCTCAAACTCAGAGGGAAGAGTGCCAGGTATTGGGATGAGCCAGAAAAAGATTCTCTCCTAGCCCTTGCAAGAGCTTTTCTGGCAGCCTAAATGTATTGACAGAGAAGTTGTTGGATACCCATGTGTCTTCAAGTAAGCCTTCATTTTCGGCAGGCATATTTTAATTAATTAGGTGGCTTATGATAACCAAGCCTATATATGTCAAAATTATCCCAACTCTGAACGGATATGCAGGGCTTGTCTAAGTATATTTCTAGTCCCCTTCCCCTTTTACTGATCAGGAGGCAAAAGAGTATCCTTCCAATGGAGCATCTTACATGCAGTATAGACAGTGGAGGTAGCATTGTGGTGGGGACCAAGCATGGTCTGTGGGATCTAATTGGCTGAAATGTTGAGTCCTGTTCTGCCCTCTATAATACTAGTTGAGTAATCTGAATACACTATTTAAAATCTCAGAGTTTCTTTATCCATACAATTGGAAAAAGTGCATTTCCTTGTTGGGAGAATGAGGAATAATCTATGCAAAGTGCCTGGCACATAATAAGTTGTCGATAAATAGTAACTCTTGATTTTGTTTGTGGATTCGGTGTTGCTTTTGTGGTGGGCATGGTGGTGATGGGTATTGTTCTGCCTATTTCTCACAAGAGGATCCTGTGCTTGCTGTTCTGCACAAGCAGACACCAGTGCCGTCGGCATAGCTTGGCCCTCTCCAGCTTTCCACAGTGGGTGATTTTTGCCCCCTAGGGGACATTCAGCACTGTCTGCAGACATACCTGGATGTCGCAACTGGGAGTCGGGAGTGCTCCTGCCACCTAGTGGGGAGAGGCCAAGGATGCTGCTAACCATCCTACTATATGCACAGAAGAGCCCTCCCACCCCCAACAAAGAGTTATCTACCCCAACATAACAATAGAGCTGAGGTTAAGAAACCTTGGCTTACATGATAAACAGGATATATTCTAGAGGCAGGGAAACCATAGCAACCAGAAATTTTCATTATACATTTCAAACTATCCCTGAAGGGGAATAAAGGACAGTTTTAGAAATAAGCATAAAATAAGTATGAGTAACTATTGAACAGGCTGCCTAGTAGGTGGGTGTGGGTGGGTGTGTTTGGGATTTGTTTTAACAGTACATCCATTCTTGCTTCAGATACATATAACATGGTGAAGTCGACATTCTGTACCACCAATGTGGACTAAATGTTTAACTTGCCCTATACAAAGGGCTTTCAGTAATTCCATAAATCTTAAATTCTGTGAATTAAAAATCTTGTTATGAGTGTGTATATATCTAAAAGGTGATTAGATTGGACACTTAAGATTAGTACACTTTTCATACCTGAGTGTATAAATACACTTACCATATATATCAGTGTATACAATCTTTGTTTTTTAAGAGGTTTTTGCCATAGGGTGTGTGCACTTGCTGGAGAGACAGAGACAGACAGAAAGCGAGAAATCTCCCCTCCAGGGGGATGGCCACACCACAATCCCTTCTCTCCCTTCTTTTTTTTTTTTTTTTCCTTCTCTCCATTCTTTAGGGATTTTGGGCATGCACAGACATGCACCCAGCATCAATTTCAAGCTGCCAGGTCCGGGACTTGAACTGCACACAACCATGTGGGAATCCAAGGCCTTAACCACTATACCACATTGCTGGCCCCAGTGTATAAAATCTTTATGGAAAAAATACAAACCTGTGATACAATCCAAGAAGAACTGGGCTAAAGTCTGCTTTGCTTTGGAGACAACACCATACAAATGAGCAGTATAGACCACTTTCAACTTTTAATGGAACTTTGTGGACATTTGAAATACCTATGCATATTGATAGAATTGGCGTGTCATTTCAGATCTCACTTATTTAAGTAGATACTCTCAGCTCAACAACTTTTATTAGTGAACTATGAGTTTCAAAGCAAAAATTTTATTTTAAAAACTGTCACAGGGCCAGCTGGTAGCACAGTCGTTAAGGGATTTGAATCCCACATAGCCAAATGCGGTTAGAATTTTGGCCTTGGCAGCTTGAGAAATATGCTGGACACATGTGTATGTGTGCCCCAAATCCTGACAGGAAGGAGAAAAGGAGGAAAAAGGATTGCAGCCTGACTACACCCCAGTGGGAGATTTCTCTCTTTCACTCTCTCATGCAAGTGCATTCACAATCTCCTGGCAATAATCATTTAAAAGAGTAAAAAACCCATTTAGAAAAAAAAATTTTTTTGAGAGGTTTTTGCTATAGGATATGTGTGCTCGCCAGAAAGACAGAGAGACAGAAAGCGAGAAATCACCCCCCCAGGGGGGATGGCCACGCCACAACCCCTTCTCTATTCTCCTCTCGGGATCTTGGGCACGCACGCACACATGCCTGGTGTGAGTTTAAGGCACCGGGTCCGGGACTCGAATCATGGTCGACTACATGGGAGTCCAGTGACATAGCAATTACACCAACTGCTGGTCTGAAAAACTTTTTTTAAATTAAAACCATCATGACTGGGCATGGTGGTGCCTGCTTATGGCAACACCATCATGACTGGGTCAACCTCACAGCTAGATCCTACATGGCCACTGCAGTTTTAATCCCAGCCCTGGCAGAAATACACTGGACACAAGTGTGTGCCCAGGATCCTGAAAAGATGGAAAAATGGAGAAAAAGTATTGCAGTAGGACAGGCCCTACTGGGGGATTCTCTCTCTCTCTCTCTTTCATATGCACATGCGCACACACCCTGTGGCATTAAAAAAATCACAACTAATTCAGAAATCCTTTCTCTTTTGAACTCAACTAAGTGAGATTATTTTATATTTTAGTTTCTCACTTCCTCAAGTGGTATTTTTCAAACTGCTGCAAGGGACAGAAAGCCAACCCGGGGAATATCTGAGGGTTGAAAGAGAAGAAAAAACTGGGAGAAGGAAAAAAATGCTTATGATCGGTATTTTATTCCTTCCCCCAATTTTTTGAACAATATATATTCCATTTTCTTCCTTTCAAGAGGTAAAATATGTATTCCCCCCAATACTGAACTTAGAATAAGGTAATAATCTAATGTACTTTTACACTATTTCACTAGTTTATTCAAAATAGGATTTTTGCAAATCATTCATAGGCGTAAATATCTAATCCAACTACGGAGAATCTATTCTTTCTGTTTAACTTTTCCTTAATGTAAAAAGATTGATATTACTGAAATATTATGTAAGCATCTGAGGAAAGAGAGACCACGGCCCTCAGGCCACAATCATACACAGTGCCAACTGGCAGTCAAGAAAAATGCACTGAGCATTTGCAATAATATAGCTTAAAGTTAATAATAAAAGATGTGATTGCATAGGCAAGCTCGTGGTTGGAAAACCATGTTTGCAGACAGAAGAGGTAATAGTGTACATACAGATTCTGCTGAGTGCTTAGTTTCATAGGAAGTGAAAGAAATTGTGGGCTGAGTGTAAGAAGAATCTTGAAGCTCTCGAAGCTCTTGATAGTCAAGTCTTTTAAACTCAGTGACAGAATTTGGTGTGTCTGAGTTCCCAGAAGTCACAATTAATAATTCTCATAAAGCTGTGGCAAGGCCTCAGCAAAAGCTGAGAATGAATGATTGAAATCTACCTGGCTATAAATAGTATTATTAATAAGGGGGGAAGAAAAACTTTCTGAAAAAGATGAGTTAAGTCACATGGAAGGTCCTATTTTTAAACAGTAGACAATATACTCCAGAATCTCAACCTAGTAAAAATGGAAAATAGGGGCCAGCTGGTGGCATGGACTGGACTCCCACATGGACGACCACAGTTCAAGTCCAGAACCTGATGGACTGAAACTCAGGCCTGTGATGCACATGTGCGCATGCCCAAAATTCCAAGAGGAGACTTGAAGAGAAGGGATCACAGGGATTGCTGCATGCCCATCCGCTCCCGCCAAGGGGTGATTTCTCACTTTCTCTGTCTGTCTGTCTCTGCCTGTGTTTCTCCCCAGTGAGTGCGCATGCCCTATGGCAAAAACCTAAAGAAAAGAATCATTTCAAGATTGGTGAATTCATGGACTATGGATCCATAATGAATTCTAGGAAACTCTAGGATGAGGGAGGGATTATCTTCCAAGTTAAAGTGAAGGAGGATAAACATCTCCACTCTGTCAGAGGTGAAGCTAAGGTCTGAGCAAACAAGGGTTTGACAGTGTTCATCCCTTCAGCAAATACTGACTGAGCCCCTGCCACACATCAACCACCAGTGCATGCACTCACGCAGGTGACAGGCTAGACAGGTGACACAGGTGAGAGACTGGATGAGTCAACCTAGGATTAGAACCATGGATAAGCCCCATTCCACAAATGTGTCCTGGTATTATTTCCATCTTGTATTCACCCAACTCAGAGTATAACAGCTACTTGCATTGAAAATGTCTTTCTTCAGGAATAGCTGAGGTTTAGATAAATCTTTGTAACTGTGAAAAAGCCTGAAATCCTTTAGTTCTATCTCTTTGAGGAGACTGTACCAGAACCGCACGACACTGCTGTCACTGCCGCTGACCTCAAACCCAGGCCAGTGGAGATGGATTTCAAAGATGAGCTGTCCAATCTGTTCCAGGACATCTTCCAGAATAAGATTTTCCAAAACTTTCCACTCTGCACTTTCCAGATCTGCCTTGAGAACATCAATCTGTAACAAAGGAACAAAACGAGATTAGCAGATTTGATAAATCACTGTCAGAAATACCATATCAGAAAGTCTCATGCTTCCCTCCCAAGGAAGCTCCATTTTTTTAAATTTTAGAGTTAACAGTCACTCTCGAGTGACTGTTTATGACATGAATTTCTAACTCACTTCATAACAAATATTCATATACAAATTATAAAATATCAAACAAAAGGTATTATGGATGCCCTTGCTTTCTGCTCAGTTGGAATAGAAGTCTGAGAAGGAAAAGCTGGGGCGTGTGTATCACCCAGTTCTGTGCCCCCAGCCTGTGCCCATGACTGGCTGAGTCCTGACAGGTTGGTGGCTACTGAGAGGGCCACAGAGGGCCATTGCTGGCAGTGCCTCTCATCTCCCTCCAGCATCATTAGAACTGAAATCCAGGAATAGAGTTTGGGGTTTTTTTGGTTTTTGTTTCTTTGTTTGTTTTTTAAGAAATCACCCCCTGGGGGGCGGGGGGACTGGCCACGCCGCAATCCCTTCTCTCCATTCGCCTCCTGGGATTTTAGGCACTCATGCACACATGCCTAGCATGAGTGTTATGCTTCTAGGTCTGGGACTTGAACTGTGGTCGACCATGTGAGAGTCCAGCAATGCAACCATTATGCTATCTGCTGGTCCCCAGGAATAGAGTTTTCAAGCATCTGAATATTAGACTCATAAAGTATATATAATATTATAATTCGCCGATTTCTCTGAAAAATACAAGGAGACTTCAAAAAAACCTGTTAAAAATAGAATTAAAATATGAATTTATTATGGTACAAAAATTTTTGAAATCTATGCATAGTTTTTTCATAATATGCATTTTCTATGAACGTTTCTTTCTGCCAAAGGCACACGGACTCTCCAGAGAGAGACAGGAGAGAGAGAAAGTACCAGGCCAGCAGGTGGAATGGAAGTTAAGGCAACTGGATCCCACAAGGACAATTGCACAGTTCAAGTCCTGGACTTGGTGACTTGAAAAAACCATACCAGGCACATGTGAGCATATGTCCAAAATCCAAGAGAATGGAGGAGAAGGGATTATGGTGAGGCTATCACCCCTAGGGATGATTTCTTACTCTGTCTCTCTCACTCGCTCTGTCTGTCTCCAGCTAGTGCATGTACCCTATAGCAAACTAAAAAAAGAGAGAGAGAAAGTACTCCCCAGTGAGATGTGATCACACTAAAATCCCTGTTGGGACCTTGGACGTGTCTCCCAGGGCTGGGATTCAGACCTTGTAGCCAACCATGTGGGATCCTGCTCCCTTAGCTACTAGGCCATAGGACTGGCTTTCCATAAGCTTTTCTTTTTCCCTTTCTTTCTTTCTCTCATTCTTTCTTTTCCTTCCTTCCTTCCCTCCATCCTTCCTTCCTTCCTTTCTTTCTTTCTTTCTTTCTTTCTTTCTTTCTTTCTTTCTTTCTTTCTTTCTTTCTTTCTTTCTTCCTTTCTTCCTTTCTTCCTTTCTTCCTTTCTTCCTTTCTTCTTTTCTTCTTTTCTTCTTTCTTCTTTCTTTTTTTGCTGTAAGATATGTGTTGTCTTTGGAGAGAGACAGAGACAGATACAGAGAGAGAAAGTGAGAAGTCACACACACACACACACACACACACACACAGAAGATGGCCACATCACAACCTTTCTCTCGGGATTTGGGACATGGAGTTGGCTATGTGGGATCCAGCCTTCTTAATCTACCATCTTAATCTACCACCTGCTGGCTCCCTCTATGAACTTTTAAAATTCTCCTTGTATACCAATACGTACTTATTAAAGGAATATAAGTCACATCCTGGGTGAGATGGAATAGAAGAATAGGATGGGAGAGAAGTATTTTGCAATTAACTAAGTCATGAGAATCAGCTTCTTTTTGCTGACTTTGCACGAAGTCCATCAGAGAGCTCTAGGTACCTTCAGAAAGCAATGGAAGCTAATCCAAGCGAAGTACTCCTTTCTACCTGACACGCTAAGTGCTTCCCTGGGATATCCGCCTAATCCTCTCCATGGAATCTGCCAGGGCAATTCTGTTAGTCTCCCTAGTTTACATTTAGGGAACTAGACTCAGTGAGTAACTGTGGGCGTCACACAGCTGGGGAAGCAGTGGTAAAATCTCAACAGAGGCTGTCCACAAAGCCCATGGTCTTAACCACTGCACGGTATGGCCTCCCCAATAAACCCACAGTGGAAAATGGTAATTAGAGTAACAAAGAGGTTTGGGTTTTGGAAAATAAGGTGCTATTTGGAGAGTGAATATGAGTCAGTGAGTAAAGTGTGGTTGTCACCTTACATTTGCCAAGTGCTTTTAAAGGGGGACAATTTTACCACATAGAGGGTAGCTGACAGCATTCACACACAAATGGGAGTAATTACAGAATTGCTGCAAAGGAGCAAAGGCTATTGTCCTCAGAGGTGACAGCAGAACCTTAAATAGCCCTTCAGTTGCTGACTGACATCACTAATACCCTGGCCCTTGAAAGTAAAAATACCTTTGGTTATGTAGAAAAATAGATGAAAATCAAGACCAACCTGCATGAACCTCTCCTCTCTCAGTACTAGGCTGTTTGATAAATTTCTCATATAGGCTGAAGGGTAAGGCTCCCAGTATTCAGGAAACATTCTTTATATGATTTCAGAGTTGGGTGGAGAAGGTACATAGAATTTGCAAATAATTGCTCTCCCCCCAAAATAAGCTTTGCCCAAAGACATTCTGAGACCCTAGGGGAGATAGATTCACTTTCTTGCCCTAGATAGGAGCTCCTGGCTCACCAAGAAGCATGGTAACAACTTCAAGAATAGAGAGAGGCCTTAGAAAAGATGAGATATTTACAGGACCAGCATTCCCACATAGTCAACTGCAGTTCGAGTCCCAGGCCCAGTGGCTCAAAACTCACACTGGGCACTTGTGCATGCATGACCAAGATCCTAGGAAGAGAATGGAGGAGAAAGGATTGCAGTGTGGCCAACTCCCCAGGGGGCAAGGGAGTGATTTCTTGCTTTCTGTGTCTCTGTCTCTCTCTGTCTCTGGTGAGCATACACACCTATAACAAAAATCTTTCTAAAAAAGATGAGATATTTGCAAACCAGCTTGTCAGTTCAATCATTTCAAAATCAAAAAGACAAAGTAAAAGAGAAAAGCCTTCACACCAGGCTAAAATAATTACATACAGCAGACTAACATAATTATTGAGAATTGGATACAAAAGAATTAATTCACTTTTTCTTTAAACCAGCTTGTCAGTTCAATCATTTCAAAATCAAAAAGACAAAGTAAAAGAGAAAAGCCTTCACACCAGGCTAAAATAATTACATACAGCAGACTAACATAATTATTGAGAATTGGACACAAAAGAATTAATTCACTTTTTCTTTCCATCTCTGCTGCCCTGGCATTTCCGTGCTTTTGTTTAATCTTGGCGGTTTTAAGCAGACTATTCCTGGATTAAGGATAATTAAACTGCCAAAAGAAATATTTAATCAAAACTTTATAAAATTTCCTAATTGGTACAGAAAATATCCAGAACTCAAAATCAGCATTTGTCATATCAAGTCACATAGCCAAGAATTTCCTAGGTGCCTTTCCAATTTATTTTCACCATGGTTTTCTGTGAGTTTGTATATGTTAAATGTGATCAATAAATCAAAGTTTTAAAGGGATGGGTAGAGCTAATGAGTTAAAATTGATTTTAAAATGGGCCACCTGTGGTAGACAGTGGAAATACAACATGCTTTAATGCTAGACCCACATGGGATGGCCCCAGATTAAGTCTCAAGGTCTCCCTGTACTTACCCAGAATACATATGCCCATGATCTGAGCTGGCCAAGGCTGGAGATAGATCACAGCATGAAGACCCTGTTGGAGGTATCTCCCTCTCTCACTCTCTCCCAAGAAATAAATAATCTTTTTAAAAACTTGACTTAAAAACTATTGGCTCGTCAGCAAAGTCATGATGCATTTAACACGTCATGACTTTTCCGACGACCCAATACATTGATGAAGTATAGGGGAATAGGCTTTATATATTTTTTCCAAACATATTTTTAAAATAAAGTATCAATTAGAAGTTATGAGCAACTGGGAGAGAACTAAATTATTGGGCTAAATTATAGCAAATACATACTTTCTTTTGAAATGCAATTTTTATTTACAAAATGCTAATCCATTCTAAAGAGCAGGAAGTATTTTCAAACACACCACCCACCCTCTTCATCCCCGTGACTAAAATCCCCCACCTCGATCAGAAGCGTACAGGTTGGTCTGCAGCCTGCAGCCTGCAGCAGTGAGCCACTGCAGAGCACGGGAGCTCCCCACTGCCTTTTGACCTGAGAGCACAGCCAGCCAGAAGGCTGTGAATAAAACATCATTTTCTCTTCCAGTGTACTTGTCCTATTTCCCGCATTTCAGAATGTCCCATTACCACAACTATTTTGCAAATGTAATTTTTGTTATTACTGCCAAGGCATCCAACATTACTGTTATTATGGAGCACTAAACATTTCTGAATAAGCCATGCCACTTTTAAGATTCTAATATCAGCTATCAACAACTATGGCACTAGGATCATGCAAATGATTGTATCAGATAATCAAGTGCCAATTCTAATATAGCTAGGTTAAATCAGGTTTCTAGAGGAAAACCAATGCTTAACTCCCTGTAAATTCTGGAAGAGTGAAAGTGAAGACATTCTTGCATGTCTCAAAGAAGGTAAATGAAATAACCTATTGGCATGATTTCAGAAGTTTTAATGGGATCCTCCTATCAAAAATTATTTTCTCACACACACACACACACACACACACACACACACACACACACAGAAGATGGCCACATCACAACCTTTCTCTCGGGATTTGGGACATGGAGTTGGCTATGTGGGATCCAGCCTTCTTAATCTACCATCTTAATCTACCACCTGCTGGCTCCCTCTATGAACTTTTAAAATTCTCCTTGTATACCAATACGTACTTATTAAAGGAATATAAGTC